TGGAAAACTAGTAATAAGTAGCTCAACGTACTGCTTAGCTGCAACTTGCAACTGCAACTTGCTTAGCGGTAAAACCTTTATTTGTTTGTATATTTTGAGAAGCAAGTTTAGTATTAGGTTGTCGGGTTTTAAATGCAAATTTTTCGCAAAATCTTTTGTCTAAGAGAACAAAGCTATTAAAATTAGTTTGTTTTGTACCATTAGAAAGGTAAATCTCTGTGCTACATTGGGCTTCTCAGCGTTTTTGAAAAGCTTTAGTTTTGGCAATTTTTCAGGGATCCAAAGAAAAGTAGTCAAAATCGTTAAAATTCGTTCAGTTGGCAACTTTTTCGATGAAAAGTTAGCACTAATTTTTTTGCTTAAATGAAAGACCAAGCATTTGTTTTTTCTTTTTCAGCCAAATCCGTCCAGCCGTTTCAAGCCATTTCAAGCGTCCAGTAGTTTCTAAATGTTTCAAATTTCAAATTTGTTTGAAAAGTCTCTTAAATGAGCAAATACCTTTATTTTCATGCATTCTTCAAACAAAAAATTCAGAAAGAACGGCTGAACGGATTTGGCTGAAAATTTGCTGACACATGCAAAAAGAGTTTTTCAAAAGTTCGAGTAAAAAACATTCCAAATCGATTCCGCAAAAAAGGTAGTTGTCGGTGGGTTTCGCTTTTTGATGATTTTGACTCTTTGTCTTTGTGCTCCCGAAAAATCCCCAAAACCGAAGTTTTTTTAAAATCGCTGAAAAGCCGAAGGTAGAATCCACATTTACCTTTCCAATGGTACAAGCCGGACAAATTTTACACGCTTTGTTCTCTTGGAAAAAATATTATTGCAAAGAATTCGCACTCAAAACCCGACAACCTAATAGTTTCATTTGAAGAATTTTCAGAAAAACTTGAATTTCTGCTTAAATTCTTTTCAAAAGTTACTCAACTTTGCTTAAGCATATCTTAAATTAGATAATATTACCGTAAATACTGTAATAGTACCCCACCCCCATAATGACGATGTGGAGTGTTGCGTAGTCTAGCTTTGAACGAGTTTTTCTCGACACTGGTTTATGCTACAATGCGCGCTTAGGTATCAAAAAATAGCCCTGAATTTCAGCTATTTTTTGATACCAAAGATGCATTTTTTGAAAGTACGGGCGCTTTGAAAAAAATGTAATACTAAAAAACTTTTGCGACTACGCGACTGTACAAAGGGGGTGGGGTACTATTACAGTATTTACGGTAGGTCGTTCGGATATAAACAAGCGTTGCTAAACAGAGATTTATCTTTCAAATGGTACAAGCCGGACTACTTTTAATAGCTTTGTTCTCTTTGAAAAAGATTTTTGCGAAAAATTTGCATTGAAAACCCGACAACCTAATAATAAGGATTCAGGTTGATTTCACGATACCCATAAATTACGTTGTTTATGGCTATATGGTGACAGAGGACGAGGAGTTTCAAGTAAAAAAACCATTAAAGAGTTTTCAATCAAATACAATTTTTAGATCAAGGATTTTATTCTGAATTCTTTCCAACCTGTGGTCCTTTTTTTATTGTTAATTGCACTTTTCATCAGGTGATATTTTGGATTTTTAATTTTTCAATTACGTAAAACAATGAGATTAAATCTACATTTGTAAAAAGTTTTTTTTTTCCTTTTCGAAAATTTATAAAACTTTAGTTCATTTGCTTTTTGGTTCTTCTCAAAAAGAAGACTAAACCAAAACTTTTGGGGCTGGGTGTTAATTTCGTGGAGAATTCTACTTACACAGGATACACCACATCACAAAATGTAGGAAAAATCTTTTTTGATAAATAAAAAGTCTTAGAAGATACACTCTCGCTAACGCTTTATTCTTGTTTTCGTGGATTTGGTTCTGTTTTTTCTTCACACAATATTTTGAAACCGCCATGACAAGTGCCTTGACTTTGTCGACGAAAAAGGGGTGATCGGGAGTATTTTATTTTTAAAATTAATTTATCATTGTTGGCTGATAACGAAAAGATTTCGAAAAACCTTGCACTTGCATGAAAAACTCATAGTTTTCCAAGGCGAAAATTTCTTTATAACCTGACTGTGCTAATTTTTCAAAGAATCTCAAAATTTAGCTATGATTTTGTGAACCTCGACGGTTTGTTGGATGCTGTGGAGAGAAAAGGTAAATGGATGTTTTTCTGTTGTCTACTTGATATTGATATTCGCAAAGCTTCTTCATAAAATTGACATTTGGTTAAGTAAAATTCCTAAAAACGTTAACTTAATTGAAATGGCCCTGAAATGACCCGCGGCGAAATGAATTAAAGCGAAATGAATTGGCGGCGAAATGAATTAAGGCAAAATGAACTGCTGCGAAATGAATTAAGGCGAAATGAATTACGGCGAAATGAATTGGCGGCGAAATGAAATTGCGGTGAAATGACCTGGAATCTTTGAGGATGGCGTATTCGTTTGGAAGAGAATGGTTACAATCCAATGAATTTCTGCAAACCGACTCACAATCAATGCAAACGGCTGGAACGTGCACTGAAACAGTGAGTTTGATTTGTTTCTTTTTAAATTGAAAACTGGTATACCTTCAAAAGTTAATCATTGTTTGTAGTTTGTACATCTATTTGTTTATATTTTTATATTACCTAATCAATTTCAGGGCAATTCTAGCGGCAGAAGACTACCAACTTGGAATGGTGAGTGGCAAGCTCACGAAGATAGGTTCGACTAAACTTGGTTATCGGTATTATTTATTGCAAGATAGAAAACTATTGCCAACAGAATATCTTGACATTTGTTATTATTCGATAGTTTTTCTACCATAATCAGTTTTCTATTTTGACCAGCTGTGACCGGTAAGCAAATCTATTCTCGACTAAATATACCATCTAGAAGTTCTCCCCACAAACGGTGATGTTTGCCGGTATGCACGAGAATCTCATTCAAACCGATGTCGTCGTCATGGACAAAGCCAACAAGATCTTATTCATAAAAGACTCATCTATTCAACCAAGTCACCTTGCTTTTGCACTGAACAAGTTCGTAATTCAGTAAGTTTTGAATCTGAGAAGTGTTTAGAGATCTACCGAGAGATGTACTTGAAAAACTCAATAGAGGTCTTGAGACAATTCAAGGATCGTATGCTAATTTTGCTGGCAGGTACGGTTAGGGCTGATTAGGTAGTTATGATTGTGAGTTTTACGTTCGTGTTTTTACAGAGTTCATGTCCTTTTTAGGTATGCACATCCGTATATCCCATACCGTCGTTCTGTTCACTCATCAAGTGAATTTTATGAACTTGGCCTAATCTATTTGTGGCCTCTCTTTCGTCTCTGTGTCATCTTTATCGGTTGCTCAATTGGTGTGCTTTTTGTGGAGATTCTTTTGGTGAGCAACACAATAATTTTTTTGATTTACCTAACCGATTTGGTACTACAAGTTTAGGGTTGCCGATCTCGAGCATCATACAATCTAGCAAGATAATTCTCTGCGGCGCTTCGGATACTTTTTGATGCTAAGAATAACTTCTTCATTTGTTTGTTTATGATGAAATTTTACTTTCCTTTGCCATTTAACCAATGCATGCGCACTACACAAAGTTTAGTAATCAGAAGTTTCTAAATTATTCAGAAAAAGAGATGACTGGTAATGGATATAGCAGGAATAATATCGCATACACAAAAAAGTCCAAACACAGACTTGAACCCAAGAGCATCCGCTTTGTAACTAAACGCACTGCCATTACACCACCGCACAATCAATCCGTCTCGCTATCTAGCCTCAAATATACAAAATTTATACAAAATGCTTTGCTCTTGTTGGAATTATGGTAAAATGTCCACGCTTTAGAATGCCACTTGCTGAAAACTGCTTCCTCACATTCAAAGTGATACTAGTTTTTTTGGGCTGACCCAAACTTCATGTTTTTGGCTTTAAAACACGTGCAAGACATCAAAGAACAATAATCATCGGCTCGATTTTTCCTATTTCGTCCCGCAATAAGAATATAGGGCTCGTACTGAAAAGCGACCGAATTTTATAAAGGGTAAATCGTAAAATCGGCATAAAGAGTTTTCGATTAGACGGATCTCAAAAATTCTTTCAGATTTGGATTCAGAATAAAATTCTGCGTTGATTGGTCAGTTATACATCGGAATCCTATAGAAATCTATTTTTTTTGCCTTATTTCGCGACGATTTGCATTGCCAACCTGAGCAATCATAGAAAGACAGTTGTGCATTTGCCGAGTTTTTGCACTGAGGTCATTAACCAATGATTACAGCAAACAGAATGAATGGCAAGTAAAGAAGATTTACTAGGAAAATTCGTTAATCGTTTAAAAAAGATTCTTAACCAAAATTTCGATAGCATTGATGATTTGAGTCTACCGTGGTTGGAGCTAGCTATCAGTTTGAGGATTATCCTAAATTTTAACAATCCGTATTGTGGCGATCTTTCTAACGTGGTTGTTGTCATATCCGATCAAACACTTCTGATGTTGATGCGTCTATTGAATTCAACCCCGAAGCCAAAACCAGAAGAGACGCCGGTTGGTTTTACGTTTTTTTATTTTATTTTAATAATTCAGGAAATCTTGGAGGATCTTCCGCTAATCAAGAACGAAGTCAAGATCAAAGACAGGGCCAAAATGAAAACGATTATGGAAGCGGATGAAGTAAGTTTGTTTAAAGTTTTCTCGTTTAAATTAATTAATTTGAGGTGGAAACTTCGGAGGTTGCACAGCAAAAAGTCAAAGAAGAAGCTAAGAATGAACAGCAAGTCAAAGTAGAGCTTGATTTAAAATTGGAGACGGTATGGTTTAACCTCATCATTGAAACTTTATTAGGTACGCGGTAAGAAGTAACTGATAGGAGGGTAAGAAGGTGGCAATTTAACATCAAAAATTGTTACTGGTACACCCCTCGAAAAGAAAGTTCTAAAAAGCGATAAATCTGATGCCTCACGAACAGAGCGCATACTCTTGATGGTCTACTAGAAAGGCATACCTGTGCATCTTTGGCATTTAAGCAACGCTAAAGAAATTTGAGTTTAGATATATTTCGTTACATGCATGCATCTATTTTTTAGATTGGCGTTATGCTTTTCAAGAGAGAAGATGTGCTGATTGATGTCCTGTGTACTGGGTGGTGGAATAAACCACTATGTTTACTTATATATATTCCATGACCGGCTTTGTCAAATCTAATAAAAAATGTGGTTTAGCAAAATTAAATGGCACTACTTCCAGAACGCTTGAATTCCTTGCTCATGATAGGTTTCAGTTCGCTTTTGCTTCTCGAGCCAAGGAGAGGTTTATATTTTTGCATTCAATTTAATTCAATTTAATTCTTAACCACTTTTTGTAAATAAAGATGTTTGGTGGATTTTGCAAACTATTTTATTGACAATGATCTTTGTGAGTCCGAAGGTTCTCACAGAAACATATACCAACACATAAACAGAAGCACAGAGATACACAAACAAACAAACAGCGTTTCCTGGTTGATGATTAAGATCAAAATCTTGTTCTTCGACGATTGTTGTGTGTCGACGACGATTGTCGTTGTGCACTTGTCTTCGATGTCGCTTTTCTCAAACTTCTCAAGGCCAGCGGCCTCGAAATCATTCGCATCACGATGCTCAAAACTATCTAAAATTTAGTATTGTGTTTCGGTCTTTATTTCGATCTGGGAAATCCAAGAAAAAAACGTACAATTATGATCGTCCTTAGGATCTTGTTTCTCAACCATCAGTAGACCGTCAATGAGCCCCTCTTCTTTTAGTTCAGTTAGAAGAATCCAATTCTTGACCATGGTTTTTGCTTCGATCATCCAATCTTTGAGTGACTCTTGCTGGTCGTGCAACCAGCTTTTTACCAGTGTGGCTCGTTGATCCACTTTCGCTGTCTTCGTTAAGGGCAAGATAAGTGTCGAGGCCGTGACGTTGAAAAATCGCCAACCTTAATAAATTGCAATAAATCAACAAAAATGCAAGGATACAAGAGCATTTACCTGGGAGACTAGGGCTAGAGGATTCAATATAACGTTGAGCATCCTCCAGAGTATATCGTTCTTTCGTTGGACTAGGCAGGGTCGGGCAGGATGCAAAGTTGAGTTGATGAGTTGAGTAGTTGAGTTGACTCAAGGAAACCCATACACTCTAAAAAACATAGAATTCACTCATCAATTCTTATAAAGACGCATTTCACATTTAGAACTGGTCAATACACACTCGAAAACACTTACATATACTTGGCAGCTCTTCATGCTGAACTTTTGCTGGATTTCCGTTTCATCATCAGGGGTCAGACCGTAAGGTTTAATTGCGAAAAAATGCTCAAACACGAGTGATTGGACGTCATTCCAAGGGTCCGGCACATCTACGGCAGCACTGATCCACTAAAAAAACAAAATATGTGGCTGAAGAACTCAAAAAACTCTTTACCATGAAAAGCACTCTCAAATTCAGTACGGCATTAAGACGTTGATCATTTTTATCGATGATCAAAGGCGTCACATGATCTACCATTTTTGATTTGTTGTTGCGCAGAATGAGGAATAGAATAACTGAAATTTACAAAATTCTTAACAAAATTAAATGAAGAAACAGAAATGAAAATTGAACGAAATCTAATCGAAATTTATTATTTAATGATTCTAATTTTCTAAGTTGATGTCCTGTTATTGATGATTGGGTTCAACGGATTGGATTTGAGTTCATACTATACTTTTGAAGTGCCGCCCGCCCATATGGGGACACTTCGTGATACTGAAATGCTTCGTTTTCTTTTTTCTCTTGGACTCTTTTAAAATTCTGTGATAGACAAAATTTTTTCAAATTATCAAAAAGTGTCCCTAGACATTCGGGGGCGGTACCTCAAAAGTATATTTCATAGACATCGGGACATACTAGACATGGGCAAATTCCGTCCCGAACCTAATTCCCCCTTCGTAAATATGATTCTAACTCATATTTCATGGTAAAAAAACTCGACGGTATAAAACTATATGATAAAAATGTTGTTTAATGTTTCTTGTAGTGTGATGAGGGGTTTTAACTGAATTTACCGTAATCTGCAGCAGAAAAAATGGTCACAATTTAGAAAATAGCAAACAAAAATAAAAACGTCTCATTTTTATTTTACTTTGTCCGCTCTTCGGGACGGGACGGGTCTTTGTCAGGTACAAAGCTTCTACAATAAATTTATTCATATAACGCCCGAATTGAGGAAATTTTTCGAAAACAAAACTTATCGAAATATTAGAATAAAATGACTAGGATCAAGGATTGTTGTTGAAGAGCTTGAATCTCTGTTAGCGTAACTTGATGGTCTCTGTTAGCGGCTTCTTCCTCTTCCTTCTCGAGTTTCTCTTGATAGTCTCTTGATATCCCGGGGAAAGATTTTGGCGTATAGTAGCCTGACGGAAGATTGAGAACGAAGAAACTCCAAGTGCCCTCAATCGCATGAGGCAACACATCGAACTAAAAAAAAAAGAAAATTATTGGTAAAAAATGACGACCTTTATCGAAAGATCCTTCTTTCCGTCGTTACTAATGAAGAGTCTCGTGAGTCCATTGATGAGATGAGGCCAGACGGAGATTAACTGAATTTTAAAAGTAACCAAGAAAAAAATATAAGCAAATCTATAGGTCAAGAGTTAATAAAGTTAAAAGAGTTAAAACTGAATTTAAAGCGAACGATCTGAAAGTGAAAGATGACGTCAAGAATTTGATTTAGACTTGAAACTGATAAAAAGCTTATTTTATAAGATTAAAATCATTGGAAACTCACGGAATAGAGGCCTTCATTGGAAACATTTGGAAGAGCCATCGGTTCTATCTTCGAGATCGCCTCATCGTCGGTCAAAGCGGTGTTCTGGAAAATGAAAAGGTATTTAAACTTGGAGAATTGTCAAATTTAAGACCTATTCTAAAAATATATTTTTGTTTAGGAATTTTATTCTCATAGAGAAATTTTCAAGAATGCTTCGGATTTCGACGAACCTTAAAGTTCGAGAAAAGGAGTCCACTTGTTGCGATCCAGCTTGCAGGTAGGGGAAAGAGAATTTTAAAATACGCAAAAATTCCAGTGTCATCGAGAATACAGGTATTTGAAAAAAAAACCCGAAGTTGATCGGGGAAATTTTGAAAAAGCTAGGAGAACTAGGTTTGACTTACAGTACTTGCAGTACCCAGCACACAGGACATCAATCAGCACATCTTCTCTCTTGAAAAGCATAACGCCAATCTAAAAAATAGATGCATGCATGTAACGAAATATATCTAAACTCAAATTTCTTTAGCGTTGCTTAAATGCCAAAGATGCACAGGTATGCCTTTCTAGTAGACCATCAAGAGTATGCGCTCTGTTCGTGAGGCATCAGATTTATCGCTTTTTAGAACTTTCTTTTCGAGGGGTGTACCAGTAACAATTTTTGATGTTAAATTGCCACCTTCTTACCCTCCTATCAGTTACTTCTTACCGCTTACCTAATAAAGTTTCAATGATGAGGTTAAACCATACCGTCTCCAATTTTAAATCAAGCTCTACTTTGACTTGCTGTTCATTCTTAGCTTCTTCTTTGACTTTTTGCTGTGCAACCTCCGAAGTTTCCACCTCAAATTAATTAATTTAAACGAGAAAACTTTAAACAAACTTACTTCATCCGCTTCCATAATCGTTTTCATTTTGGCCCTGTCTTTGATCTTGACTTCGTTCTTGATTAGCGGAAGATCCTCCAAGATTTCCTGAATTATTAAAATAAAATAAAAAAACGTAAAACCAACCGGCGTCTCTTCTGGTTTTGGCTTCGGGGTTGAATTCAATAGACGCATCAACATCAGAAGTGTTTGATCGGATATGACAACAACCACGTTAGAAAGATCGCCACAATACGGATTGTTAAAATTTAGGATAATCCTCAAAGTTTTCAGCAAGTGGCATTCTAAAGCGTGGACATTTTACCATAATTCCAACAAGAGCAAAGCATTTTGTATAAATTTTGTATATTTGAGGCTAGATAGCGAGACGGATTGATTGTGCGGTGGTGTAATGGCAGTGCGTTTAGTTACAAAGCGGATGCTCTTGGGTTCGAGTCTGTGTTTGGACTTTTTTGTGTATGCGATATTATTCCTGCTATATCCAACTCAATTCTTACTACGATTAAAAAGCGAGCCCACCTCCGCGAAATCAGTGACAACGTTACTCAATTTCACTCGGAGTTTGTCATAAGCCTACTCTCGTAGCTGCTTCATTCGATCCTGACCAGCAGGATCCTTGAAAAGTAAATAGTAAATACATTTGCTGCAACTTTTCTTCTTTCTTACCGCCTTCTGAAATCATCAATGTCGCTGGGTTTATAGAAATATCCAACACAAGTTTCTTCCTGAATTCATGGAAGCATGGGCAAGTCCGGCAATTGACCTTGTTTTAAACTAGAAACAACTTGATACGAGATTTCTTTGTAGCTTTTATTTAGCGATCTAATGGCTGTCCATGGAAGCGAAGAAATGCTCCGCTTTGAGTTTACCCAGTATCAACGCACCGAGGTCGAGAAAAAGGCGATGGCTCCCACGGATCGAAGGTACATCTACAGTCAATCGGTTCATCTGTAAATCTCTAAAACAACCTGTTTTTACATGTGAAGCAAAATTAAAAGGCACTACTTCTTGAACGCTTGAATTCGTTGCTCTTCATAAGCCCTCATAGGTTACGGGTCGCTTTTGCTTCTCGACCCAGAGAGAGGTTTGCATTTTTGCATTCAATTTAATTAGTTTCTTATTTAGTCTGACTTCAGTCAGAAGCACAGTTTCCTCTGGACTGGCTTAATGGAGATCGCTGATCTGAGGTTGATTTAGGCTTCCCTATGAAATAATCAAATGATCAAATGAGCGCCAACTTCTTGTTACGTCAATCATTACGATTTGTCTCAGTGAGTTTTTTGGAAGCGATTTTTTAACTTGTTATAGTCAATTCTTAAATCGTTTTGTTTAGCATGCTTGTCGGTCGTGCTCGTTATCATGGACTTCTAGTAAAATTTATAAATTACAAATTAGAATACCTCTGAACTACTTTTTATTTAGGTGGTGGCTTGGACAACCTATGATTCGATTGAGGCTCTGCGATTGAGGCTCGGCCGATGATCGTCGGGACCGGTATGCTGTAAGTACTGTAAGTCAAACCTAGTTCTCCCAGCTTTCTCAAAATTTCCCCAATCAGCTTTGGGTTTTTGTTTCAAATACCTGTATTCTGGATGACACTGGAATTTTTGCGTTTTTGCGTTTTTTCGAGAATAAAATTCCTAAACAAAAATATATTTTTAGGATACGTCTTTAAAAATATCGTTTCAAAATCATTGATTTAAGGTTATCTCCAAAGAGGACAAGGAATTCAACCCTATCGAAGAAAGCGGCTCAACTTTGTGAAACCGTCAATCACTATGCTGAGGTTTGGAAAAAAGACAAATAGCATTTGTTTTCTAATTTAGCATAGAAATCTATTAAATTTGACAATTCTCCAAGTTTAAATACCTTTTCATTTTCCAGAACACCGCTTTGACCGACGATGAGGCGATCTCGAAGATAGAACCGATGGCTCTTCCAAATGTTTCCAATGAAAGCCTTTATTCCGTGAGTTTCCAATGATTTTAATCTTATAAAATAAGCTTTTTATCAGTTTCAAGTCTAAATCAAATTCTTGACGTCATCTTTCACTTTCAGATCGTTCGCTTTAAATTCAGTTTTAACTCTTTTAACTTTATTAACTCTTGACCTATAGATTTGCTTATATTTTTTTCTTGGTTACTTTTAAAATTCAGTTGATCTCCGTCTGGCCTCATCTCATCAATAGACACACGAGACTCTTCAGTAGTAACGACGGAAAGAAGGATCTTTCGATAAAGGTGGTCATTTTTCACCAAGAATTTTCTTTTTTTTTTAGTTCGATGTGTTGCCTCATGCGATTGAGGGCACTTGGAGTTTCTTCGTTCTCAATCTTCCGTCAGGCTACTATACGCCAAAATCTTTCCCCGGGATATCAAGAGACTATCAAGAGAAACTCGAGAAGGAAGAGGAAGAAGCCGCTAACAGAGACAGTCGTTGATTCAAGCCTGAGCTCTTCAACAACAATTCTTGATCCTAGTCATTTTATTCTAATATTTCGATCAGTTTTGTGTTCGAAAAATTTCCTCAATTCGGGCGTTATATGAATAAATTTATTGTAGAGGCTTTGTACCTGAAACCGCAAATTGGCACAAAGAATACCAATGGTTTGCTAAATATTTTTTGTACCTTTAAAAGTCAAGACTGGCCTAGGTCAGGTGCAACTTTTAGAAGAGTTCTTTGTCTCTTAAACTCTGGAATTTGTTGGACTTGCTCAAGGATGCCATAAAATGAATGCAGCATTACTTTTTGCAAAGTTACATAGATATGTCCCCATATGGGACACTCGGGGGCCGTACTTCAAAAGTATAGTTCATAGACATCGGGACGGGACAAAGACCCGTCCCGTCCCGAAGAGCGGACAAAGTAAAATAAAAATGAGACCATTTTTATTTGTATTTTTTCCCGTGTCCTAAATTGTGACCATTTTTTCTGCTGCAGATTACGGTAAATTCAGTTAAAACCCCTCATCACACTACAAGAAACATTTGAATCATAGTAGATCTGTGAAGAAAGTAAGTCTCTGGATGTTTTTATGCTTTTTCCGTTGAATCTCTATTGAAATGAGCCGAAAAAGCGGGTTCCTTAACAGTTTCAATTTTTCGGCTCTTTTAGTAGAGATAGAATTTAATAGAAATTTAATTTAATAGAAAGGACTAAACGGTATTCCACTGACACCCTCGTAGATCCCGCTTTTTCGCTTGAATTTTTAAGAGATTCAGTCGAGAAATCGGAAAGCATCCAGAGCAACCTTCTTGATAAATCCACTATGATTCGATTATATTCTTCGTAACCCACTTTGCGGCTTAAGCTCTATTGAAATGGACGCAAAAAGCGAAATGCAAATGTCTTACCAAAATTTGCGTGTGGAACCCCAGAAGTTTACATATTTAAAAAATTTGCATTTAAATCTCAAATAAAACAGACAAAAATACGATTTTTTTTCATATTCTTCTGCGCTGAAACTATGGTCGGCCCTCCCGCTTCTGTCGATCCGGTGCATTCTGCTTTAGAGGTTACGAAAGAGGTAAATTATTTTTTAATTCTTTAACTTTAAATTCAATTTTAACTCTTTTAACTTGATTAACTCTTGACCTATTGATTTGCTTATATTTTTTTTGCTGGTTACTTTTAAAATTTAGATCATCAACGTCTCCCCTCATCTCATCAATGGTCGCACGCGCTTCTTCATTAGTAACGACGGAGAGAAGGATCTTTCGATAAAGGTCGTCATTTTTTACCAATAATTTTCTTTGTTTTTAGTTCGATGTGTCCCCTTATACCATTGAGGGCACTTGGAGTTTTTTCGTTCTCAATCTTCCATCAAGCTACTATACGCCAAAATATGACGCCTGGAACAGCCATGACGATGACTCCAGACCCGTCGATCGCTTGATTCTTCCAGCTGATGGTAAAAAGTATGGCATTGATGTCGTCTTTTCGGGTGAGCTTTGCAATAATTAGAAAAAGACTTGTTCATTTAGTACCACGCCCAAAGGTCTACACGATTTACATCACGATCTCGGATCGCTTGAATAAAGACATCGTCGGTTTTTTATAGCTTTATGTCTAAAATATCAGTTAGCTATTGTTAAGAAAACCATCAATCTGACCTTAGTTTTGATCTTATTCTTATTAACAAAATTTTCTTTTCAGAAGTTCGAACGCCTTAAAGTGAATATCGACGTCCTGCCCTATAAGTCCCACGATTATTGAAGACCCGAATCAAAATCAAGCCGAATTCTCTGTAACCACTTTTTGTAAATAAAGATGTTTGGTGCAAACTATTTTATTGACAATGATCTTTGTGAGTCCGAAGGTTCTCACAGAAACATATACCAGCACATGAACAGAAGCACAAAGATACACAAACAAACAAACAGCGTTTCCTGGTTGATGATTATGATCAAAATCCTGCTCGCTTCGACGATTGTTGTGTACTTGTCTTCGATGTCTTTTTTCTCGATGGTTTTCTCGACCTTCTCAGGGCCAGCGGCGTCGAAAACATTCGCATCCCGATTAACTAAAATTTAGTATTGTGTTTCGGTCTTTATTTCGATCTGGGAAATCCAAGAAAAAAACGTACAATTATGATCGTCCTTAGGATCTTGTTTCTCAACCATGAGTAGGCCGTCAATGAGCCCCTCTTCTTTTAGTTCAGTTAGAAGAATCCAAATCTCGATCATGCTTTCTGCTTGCATCATCCAATTGTTGAGTGACTCTTGCTGGTCGTGCAACCAGTTTTTCAACAGTGTGGCTCGTTGATCCACTTTCGCTGTCTTCGTTAAGGGCAAGATAAGTGTCGAGGCAGTGACGTGGAAAAATCGCCAACCTGAATAAATTGCAATAAATCAACTAAAATGCAAGGATACAAGAGCATTTACCTGGGAGACTAGGGCTAGAGGATTCAATATAACGTTGAGCATCCTCCAGAGTATATCGTTCTTTCGTTGGACCAAGCAGGACAGTTGAGTAGTTGAGTTGGCTCAAGGTATCCCATACACTCTAAAAAACATAGAATTCACTCATCAATTCTTATAAAGAGGCATTTCACATTTACAACTGGCCAATATACACTCGAAAACACTTACATATCCTTGGGACATCTTTATGATGAGCTTTTGCTGGAGAGCCGCTTCATCATCAGGGGTCAGACCATAAGGTTTAATTGCGAAAAAATGCTCAAACACGAATGATTGGACGTCATTCCAAGGGTCGGGCACATCTGCGGCAGCACTGATCCACTAAAAAAACAAAATATGTGCCCGATAAACTCAAAAAACTCTTTACCATGAAAAGCACTTTCAAATTCAGTACGGCATTAAGACGTTGATCATTTTTATCGATGATCAAAGGCGTCACATGATCTACCATTTTTGATTTGTTGTTGCGCAGAATGAGGAATAGAATAACTGAAATTTACAAAAATTCTTAACAAAATTAAATGAAGAAACACAATTAAAATTGAACGAAATCTAATCGAAATTTTATGTTTAATGATTCTAATTTTCTAAGATGATGTCCTGTTATTGATGAAAATTTACTTAAATAAAAATGAAACGTGATTGAAATTCTGAGTTCAACGAATTGGATTTGAGTTCATACTATACCTTTGAACTGCCGCCCGCCCATTTTTTTTGGGACACTTTTTGATAATAATATGCTTCGTTTTCTTTTTCCTCGTGGACTATTTTCAAATTCTGTGATAGACAAAATTTTTTCAAATTATCAAAAAGTGTCCCCAGACACTCGGGGGCGGCAAAAGTATAGTTCATAGACATCGGGACATACTAGACATGTGCAAATTCCGTCCCGAACCTAATTCCCCCTTCGTAAATAGGATTCTAACTCGTATTTCATGGTAAAAAACTCGATGGGATAAAACTATATGATAAAAATGTTGTTTAATGTTTCTTGTAGTGTGATGAGGGGTTTTAACTGAATTTACCGTAATCTGCAGCAGAAAAAATGGTCACAATTTAGAAAATAGGAAACAAAAATAAAAACGTCTCATTTTTATTTTACTTCGTTCGTTCTTGGAACGGGACGGGTCCCACAAGGGGGGGGGTCTAAAGTCTAGATTTCGAGGGGTCAGAGGGGTGTCATTCTAATACAGCATTTACGGTATTCAAGCACCTTGATTGCTTTCTCAGAGACCAAATATTCAAAGATACGGTGGAGGTTCAAAATGCTACTGAACCTTTTATCAACTCTAGAACTCCTGCCTACTACATACATGGAGCCGAAAAACTTGTCGTATGCTGGCAAAAGTGGCAAAAGCGCATTGATTGTAATAGATGTTATTTTGATTAGTTAGTGTTTTGAATAAAAAATTTTTTATGATTGAAGTTGTGTATGAAAAACACGGAAAATCATCCAGTACAATTTGACCTGATATATCAGGTCAAATTGTACTGGATACAGTCAAAAGGAGTCAGGGTCAGAACTAAAGCTGAAAGACTAGGATCACTGAGTGGGCTCACTTCCAGTATAATGATAAGCAAAGCTTGTAAACCCTCCGAAAATGTCAAATTTTGTATCCCATATATCTGATGATAGATGATAGTGATAGAGCTCTTCCAGAAAAACAAAAGCAGATTCGATGCCCGATGAAAGCTCTATCAGATAAGCTATCATTTTAAAACTCGTTCTTGATTTTATAACATTGGCTACTAAGATGATGAGGATCATAACGGGATTCCAGGATAAATCTAAATGATTTTTTATAATAACTAAACTTTGTCACGATTTGAAGAAGCCAATTTTTGTCTACAACATTTTGATTCGAGTAAAAGACAGGTCTTTTGGAAAGGCCGCAATACAATCTCTTATCAGAGTTCATTCATTTTCCGACCCTGGTAAAAAGCGATGCAAAAAAATGCAGGAATTGAATTTTTCTATTGCTCTTGATCTTTAATATTAATTCATAATGAATTTAAACTCATCTCTACGTAACAAATTGTTATTGGTAGTTGTCTATATTGGGCTATTGCTTGACTATTCTTTACTAACGGCTGTAGGTGGGTTTTTTATAGAGAAGTGAACTCACAGAATCTGTGGTCATTCAGTTCAATTTAAGCTATTCAGTTTAAGCTAAACTGTGGATAAGCTACCGTAATCTGATCTGGTTTTTCGGCAATATAAGCCGCTTTTTTGTACTCTTTTGTCTCTCTTCCTCTTCAGATTTTTGTGAGAGGTTTTCCCTAGATTTTTGTTTAAAAATCTGTCATTGTATCCTATATTTTGTAATTCTGTAATTGTATTCTGCTAAAATCTTGATTCTCTTCTGAAAGCTTAGAAATTACATAGAAAGTACGCTCGAGTCGGTACCTAGAAGTAGAATTGTGTCATTATTTACTACTTACTAAATTTTAAACATAAACGATGTGTTTAACTTGTTTAAAACTTTGTAAGAAGCTATCTGAATTGGAAATTTTGTATTATAGATGTGAAAAAACTGTAAAACTCTCTAGAACTTTTCATAAAACTATTCAATTCTCTAAAAACAATTCTAGAGATCTTTCAGGTTTACTAACGTAATATTTTTTGCATTGACGAGAACTCAAAGTCAAAGTACCGCGACTGAGGTGACAGCCATGCATTGTTGATTTACTTGGTGTTGCTGTAGGTAGTCAAAACTTGGCCAAAAAGCGAGCTCACCTCCGCGAAAGCAATGACAACGTTACTCAATTTCACTCGGAGTTTGTCATAAGCCTACTCTCGTAGTTGCTTCATTCGATCCTGACCAGCAGGATCCTTGAAAAGCACATACATGTCGTAAACAAATTAAACCCAACAACAGCTTTTGATTCGACGGTTGTAATTGAAAGCACTCCCAAATCGTCCACAATTGTAGGCTTCTCTGGGGCGTAGATTCCTGAATAGTAAATACATTTGCTGCAACTTTTCTTCTTTCTTACCGCCTTCTGAAATCATCAATGTCGCTGGGTTTATCAAAATATCCAACACAAGTTTCTTCCTGAATTCATGGAAGCATGGGCAAGTCCGGCAATTGATCTTGTTTTAAACTAGAAACAACTTGATACGAGATTTTAAAGAAACCCAATATTCTCATATCGAGACATAGCTGCTGCTGTTAATTGATTCAATCGCACAGATTCTGGTGGTTTGAATACGTAAAGCAACACCAAGTAAATCAACAATTCATTTCTGTCACCTCAATCGCGGTATTTTCACGGTAGGCGCGTGATACATCAAAGAAACCGGCGCAATGTTTAGACGAATTTTCTGAACAAATTTGATAGCTAAAGATGATTACAAAGCAAAAACCTGATCATATTTTTCGTGCAGCGGATTCGTGTCAATTTCAAGATCCAGCCATGGCTTTGATGGGACGCGAACTCGTAACATTTCAGCATCTCCTCCATCCATACGCAATTCTTTAATGCCCGACTTGATGCTAAAATTCCAATATATTAAATAAAAGAACTTTAATAACTGACTTTATCGCTCCAGCACTTGGGCTCTGTTGGATGAGTGGGTTCAACTCAAGCAACTTCATCATGATCGCTCCATCAATTGCAATCGCAACCTAGATGAAAAATTAATTTTGAATTCCAAACTTCCAACTTCTCCAAGGCGGAATGTCATTTTGTTTTCCACATATTCCTTCGGATAGTTTGTCGGCGGGATATCCTCCTGAGAATCGATGGCATCAAACAGCTTGGATTTTTGCTCCGGAATCATGGCCCCTTCGAATTGTGTGACAATGTCCTTGTTCTGTTACTTGCTTTTGTCATCTTTCGATCCGCTGCTCCACCTAAATTAGAATTCTTTGTGGTTGACACAAGTGTTATTATGAAAAGTAAGTAAAGCCATAAAAAACATCATGTCTTTGCCCAACCCATAATGCCTTGTGGTTGATCTTCGACTCTCGTCAAGCCTTTACGATCAATTTCCATTTCTGTCTGCTGGCGCGCAATATTGGCATTGAAAACATTCAAAGTGTCCTCAGCTTTCTGAGTTCAAAACATATCAAGGAGTTAAAAAAAAATGCAAACCTTGACCAATTCGGCAACAGAACCAGGAAGGCTCTTTTCGGTCTGATGTTTGACCCATGCGTCTCGGTAGTCGCGAACCAGCTGGCGATGCCTTTTTATTCGCTCCCAACTCCAATTTCTTCGACGTCTCCGAGCTTTTCCCTCGGGGATACACGTGTATGCGAAGTGCATAGCAATGCTTTTCGGTATTTTCGGACTTGTTGTAGTTGTTTGTTGTATTTTGTTCGGTGATTAGTGGAAGTTCGAAATTGCGCTGAATTTGGATTTGAAACGATAAAATTTATCATCTTTATTCGGTTTTCGATTTATTCGTTTTAGTAGGGCTCGACGCGAATCCTTATCTCCTGGTCCTCCAATTTCTTATTAGACGTGACTTCTGAGATGTCCATGGTGATTGTGTAGACATCTGGGTTCGGCACTAAATCAACAAATGGTGTTCTAATGATTGTAAAGCTCACCCGAGAAGATTACGTCAATGACATATTCCTGCCCATCAGCTGGAATCATCAAATCCAGAAACGGGATCTGGTACGATTTGAGCAATCTCTCGCGCTTCTCGTGATCACCGAGGAGAAAGAAGCTCCAACTACCCTCAACCGTATGGGGGGATACAGCAAACTAGAAAAAAGAAGAAAGTTATTGATAAAAAGATCAAAGATAACCTTGATCCAAAGATTTTCAGCTTTCGGGTGCTTGTTTCTAATCGAGAAGCTTGTGCGTCCGTTGATGAGGTGGGGGTGGACGGAGATTCTATGCTAAATTTTTAATGTAACCAAAAGCAAATCAATAGGTCAAGTTAATACAGTTAATAATACAAGAGTTGAAGTTAAAGTTAAAGCTAAAAGTGAAAAAATAGTTTACCTGTTCTACTTTCAAAGAAGACTTCTCCGGAATGACGGATGAAGGAAGAGCCACCATATTTGAAGCAAGAAGAAAATGGCGATGAAGTTATTTTCGTTGCTTTTATTTGAGGTCTAAATGCAAATTTCTGAGGTTTTAGATGCAAATTTTTGTAATACATTTGCATTTCGCTTTTTGGCGTTCATTTCAATAGAGATTGAACCAAAAAAGTGGGTTTCTTTCTTTTTAATCCTAACCAGGAAAAGTACAAAGGATATATTTGAATCGTAGTAGATCTGTGAAGAAAGTAAGTCTCTGGATGTTTTTATGCTTTTTCGATTGAATCTCTATTGAAATGAGCCGAAAAAGCGGGTTCCTTAACAGTTTCAATTTTTCGGCTCTTTTAATAGAAATAGAATTTAATAGAAAGGGCTAAACCGATTTTGACTGACATCCTCGTGGATCCCGCTTTTTCGCTTGAATTTTTAAGAGATTCAGTCGAAAAATCGGAAAGCATCCAGAGGCTTACCTTCTTGATAAATCCACTATGATTCGATTATATTCTTCGTAACCCACTTTGCGGCTTAAGCTCTATTGAAATGGACGCAAAAAGCGAAATGCAAATGTCTTACCAAAATTTGCGTGTGGAACCCCAGAAGTTTACATATTTAAAAAATTTGCATTTAAATCTCAAATAAAAAAGACAAAAATACGATTTTTTTCATCACTATATTCTTCTGCTCTCAAACTATGTTCAACCCTTTTGCTTCTGTCGACCCGGTGCATTCTTCTTTAGAGGTTTTCCTCGATGTCGTTTTTCTCGATAGTTTTCTCAAACTTCTCAAGGCCAGCGGCCTTTCAAAACCATTCGCATCACGATGCTCAGGATTATCTAAAATTTAGTATTGTGTTTCGGTCTCTATTTCGCTCTGCCAAATCCAAGGAAAAAACGTACAATTATGATCGTCCTTAGGATCTTGTTTCTCAACTATGAGTAGACCGTCAATGAGCCCCTCTTCTTTTAGCTCAGTTAGAAGAATCCGATTCTCGGATTTACAGATGAACCGATTGACTGTAGATGTACCTTCGATCCGTGGGAGCCATCGCCTTTTTCTCGACCTCGGTGCGTTGATACTGGGTAAACTCAAAGCGGAGCATTTCTTCGCTTCCATGGACAGCCATTAGATCGCTAAACAAAAGCTACAAAGAAATTCTCATAAACTCTAACGTGTATAAAGCGCCCTTCGTCATATCTTGAATCTTGATCGCTTGTAGAGTGGCTTTCACCTCCATAGTCTTATCCATCATTCGTACTTCCGAGTTGATCTGACAATTTTATTTATTTTTTTTATCGTAGATCCAATATACTTTTTCGATTGCCATGAATGTGTCGATTTCTTTCTCGGTGCCCATCAAAATGGCCAGCTGTCTGTAATTTTGTAATTGTAAAATGTAATTTTGTCTCTGAGTCAAAATAGAAAAAAGTACAAGTGGATCTTACCATGGGTAATTGTTGTATTCCGATCGCCTGTGAAATCGTGGCTCTCACGTAGGCATTACTCCACATTAATGCCAGCGCACATCGGCCAACATCTTCGTCTTTGCACAAGTATCGAACCTAAATTAGAATACACGATATTAACATTGAACAGTCAGCTAAAAGCGTCCACCAGTCGGTGTCTTATTCATTTTTATATTCTCTTCGATTGAACGGATCATTTTCTGGTGAGTTTTTGTTTTCTGAGCTGCAATTTAGGACTTTTCAACATTTGTGTTAAACTTTTGAATTTTAGATCCATAATGCCAGCCAAGGGATCGGTCAAGTCGAGGAGAAGAATTGTGAGGAAAATCTTGGTCTTCTGATTTACATTTTTTTAGGTTTCCCCACCCGAACAGCCGAAAGATTTTGTCAAATTTGTTAACGATCAATTGGGCCCAAAAAAGAAGACTGATGCCTATGAAGTTTTTTGGGAAATTTTTTGATGGTAATAGAGGTTGTTAAGAAAATCACTGGAGGTAAGGAGTATCGACCGAATTGGCAAAACCTCGCCTCGATCTACAATCAATCGCGCCTTCAATTGATGGTTGGAGAGAAGAAACTTCTCAAGGTAAAAATTTGGTGCTTTAGATGAAGAATAGGTGTCTCAATAGGTAACTGGGTTGTTTTTAGGTTGAGCCACAAAAACCGAACGACAATCTGTTTTTGCCGGGCTCTTACACATCTTACGATCATCGCGACTACACCTTTTATCAGGTGGGTAAATAATTTTTTCGCTATGTGTTGATTTAGGCTCCCAAAACCGAACAAACAACCATCGATTTGTGGAGAGCCGTTTGGCAGGTTTGGGATTTTGAGAATTTTCAATAATTTTACCCCTTTTAGGACGAGACTTGCGTGATTGTTTCTGTTTCCCAAAAGGGTGATTTTGCGAAAGAGCCAACCACACGCTGTTATCCATATTGGCCAAAAAAAGAAGGAGAAACACTCACACCTGCCGTTGGTGGCATTTATTCAATTAACGAAGCTTTGAAAGTTAGAGTAACATAAAACGAAGTTGATCGTGGAAAGTGAAAACGAAGAAGACGGGGCAAAAGCGGTGGAAGAACTGAAGAAAATTATCGGAGGTTTGAAAATCACATAGATCTTATTGTGTTTCTTTAGAAAATCTCGTCTACTACGATGCAAAGCCTTGGCTGAATACCGTACAGAAATGGAATGCTTTTCGGTAATTGGAAAAGTTTTAAGTCATTATGTTTGGTTTAGTGAACGCAAGCTCGTATCAAATCCAAATTTTGTCAAAAGTCTTGACGAAGCAATGGCATGCATTGATGACATTTTGGATGAGTACAGGTATTTAGTCAAAAATTGTCTTTTAAAATATTTTTTCAGTTTAAATCAAATAGCTCTTTCGTTTAATGGCGGTAAAGATTGCACAGTTCTTCTCCATATGTTGCGAGTTGCCATCGACAAGTTCGTTTTGGCCGAAAATCAATAATTGTACGTTTTAGAAGATACGGACCAGGGCAAAAAATTGCTGGATTTCACATTGTTTGCGACGATCAATTCCCCGAGCTAACGCAATTTATCATTGATGCCGCAAAAATGTTCGTTTTCATGTATTTCTTGTAATTGCACCTTTCAGGTATAACATTGTTGTTATGGAATTACCGGGACCTCTCATAATTGGAGTGAGCTCATTGAAAGAACAACGGCCACAAATTGTGCCCGTTTTGATGGGAAGTCGTGCAAGTGATCCGAATGGAAAATATATGAAGTAAGTGGGTAAAAGATTGTTAAAATTGAAATGAAGCACAGATTCTGAATCCTGTTTTAGATCTAAAGTTGAGTGGACTGATTCGGATTGGCCTCGAGTACTTCGTGTGTGCCCGATTCTTCCGTGGAGCTATCAAGATGTTTGGATGATGTTGAGAGGTCTTTGTGTTCACTATTGTCAACTGTACGACCAGGTTGGGTTTGAATTTGGGCCTGAGATAAATTGTATCAGCAATTAAGAGAATTTACGGTGTTTTGTGAGTCCGTACGAAGTTCAGTTTCATATTTTAGGGTTACACATCATTAGGCGGTCGAGAGACAACAGTTCCAAATGAGATGTTGCGAATAGAAAGTAGCGGAAACATAAGGTAGTGTTGAAAGTGTTTGGACTAAAAATGCTAATGTTACCTGATAATGCATTTTAGATACTGCCCAGCTTATACACTCAACGATGGGAATGAAGAAAGGAAAGGACGCAAAAATAAATAAAGTCTGCTAACAAATCAACCTATTTTATCTGTGATAGTAGTTAAGTTTGTGATCTTAAATTTTTAGCCCTAAATTGCTTTGTATGTGTGATTTTGAACTAGTTTAATGCTATTTAATTATCTACTTATTATTTTAGTTTGTTTGTGGAGAATAAATTTCTATTTGTAAACTTATTGTTAGATTCTCTAAAGCATTCGGTTGAAAATCCATAGTTTGGATTACTGTAAGACTGTAGTTTGCAAAACTTAATAAAGTCACAAATGAATATTGATGGGTCTTTACATTTGAAAATGTTAACAACTTTCTAGTATCTAAAACTTTTGAACTGATCAAAATCGAATGGATGAAAAAAAAGTTATATGCAAAACAACCAAAGTAATGCAGGGCGATCAATACTTTTTTCCATCACTGTATCTAGAGATCTTGTATCAAAATCTTATCATCTTTCGACAAATATATTCCATTTCGAATATCATCTCCAGTAGGTCGCTTGCAAATTGCCTGAAATTCTTGTCATTGGCAAATTATTTCCTTTCACTCACCATTGTACTGTTCGTATTCTGAAAACAGCTCATCGGCGGTGTGCATTGACACGAATCTGTACACAATGCATCCACGCCTAACATCAAAATTTGACATCTCTGCGTGTTGTCGACTCGACGAATGCAACAAGATCCTGAATTTCAGGATTGGAAAATCAATTCGAACTGTTGGTTAACTGATTAATTGCATTGCAAGAGTGAGTTCCTGAAACATGTCTCCTTCTAAAAGTACCGTAGCCTTGCCTCTAGTTTTATCCAAAATTCCTGTTTCTTAGTTCTGTACTCGTCCACCATTCCCATCATTTCACTCACCCGGCATACAATCCTTGTGTTGTAGACACACATTGAAGTCTTGTTTTGTGGGAATCACTGGCAATTTCCTTCTTATTTCTTTTTCATTCATTTCCGTCTCATTCTTATTCTTTGTCACTTTTTGTCGTCTTCTCGACGATTTTGTTGTGCTTTTCGGTTTCTCGCCATCGATTCGATCAATCTGAAAACGATCAATTTAATAAAACTTATCCTGCAAGTAAGTTTTTTTTTTTCCAAAAATCACCTTAAATACGGTGGAGATTGTTCTTTCGAGTCGATCCAAGCGATTCACAATGTGCTTCAACTGAAATATTCTTTGAACAGTTCTAATTTTTCTCTTTTTCCAACTTTCTCCAACAATTTCTTATTCCATTTCTCTTCTCTGTGATGTCGTCGTCGATTTCCTGATGGTTTTTCCTCTTTTTCGCTGAAATTCTCGAACAAATCGCGGTTGGCTGAAAAATTTGGTGGGGAAACAGTATACCCTTGTGCTCGAAAGCTTTAGAGTCTAAATTTTTGATTTGCGTAAGTTTCCGTACTTCAAATCCCATCGGTTCTTTCTCTTTTATTCAATCTTTACCTTGTGGATCCAATTGCATTGTCAATATTCGAATTTCCTCTCTCAATTCTTTCATTTTCCTTCGTTTTCTCTGTAAAAGTCGCCTCTCGCGAAGCTCGGACTTTTTCTGAAATCAAAAGTTTGAACTGAAAGTTGGAAACTCAAAAATGATCCTAGCCATGAGATTTAGATTGATTTTTATCGAATCTCAAAACTCACAGATTCATTTGTTTTCTCGGCGACTTCCGTTTGATTTGTCGGTTTTTCGAGGGTGAAAGGGATCAAATAAAGAATTGAAAATGATAGAAATACGGTGCAGATTTGCATTTCTGAAAGAAAATAGATATTTTGGGGTTTTCCAAAACGGAAGTGGAGGTAAAGGCTGAGATATTACGGTAATAGATTACTGTAGACAGGGTTAAGCAACTGTAGCGATTTCTCAAGTCAGCGAAGTCACAGGAATCAGGAATTGTGTCAAATGCAACATGTATGGTGAATACAAAGATATAAAAGCTTCAATCGAAGTAAGAACAAATAGAGAATCAAAATTGAAATTTTTCTTTCTGTTTTTGGTGACCCTTTCTAGGTTACAGAGTAACTCCTTTAAAAGAACAGGGACATTGAAAAGCGGACATGAAAGAGGAAAGAGTCAGTGAAATGGGGAAAAGAAAAAATGAATTGAAAAAAATGGATTGAGAATGGAGAAGATACAATTGGGGACATTTCGGTGGATGAGAGGCGGAATGGAGGAATCGAGAGGAGGGAGCGGAGGAGCTCATTTGATTGGATCCACCTTGGGCACTTCTCCCAAGGGGATGTGAGAGCTCGGAAATTCTGAGCCAGACCAGGAAAGCTTTGAATGAAATTTATGCCGGTAGGTTTAAAATTTGACAAAAATAAGAATTGGTGCCTTTTGGCATTGGGCATTGCATCGGGAGTGGCTATTTTCTTTCAATGTGGAAAGATTTCGATGAGGAAGGGAAAAATTTTCCTTCAAATCACGCGTGTATTTGAATAATCCATTAGAGAGGCGTTCGTCTGAAGGAAAAATTGATGGGAAAGAAAGGGAAAAGGAGAAGTGATATTTGGGACCTTTTAGTGAAAAAATGGGGGATGATTCAGAAGGGAAAATGATCATCGATTTATACCGATTTGATAGATAAATTTTGGTGTCTCTTACAAAAATAAGGTTTAGTGAAAGAAATGCACCAAATTGAAAAAGGTTGGGCAATTGAATCAAGTTGAACAAATTGAACACATTGATAACAGGAAGAGTTGGGTCAGTGAACCAGGAAAGATAGCTCCTAACAGTAACAGTTAAAACAGTTACGAGATAAGAAAGTTAGGTGGATTTGGCTGAAGAAAGAAATCGACTTTGAAGAGAAAAAAAAGCCGAGTAACAGGTGTTCGTATAGGTGAGATTTATGGGGATGGGGAAATGAATGAATGAGAATGGATAGAGGGAGGGATTGGGAGATCGATGGAATATGTCCTTGTGTCATCGATCAGTCAAATGAACCGATAGAGGGGATACAAATGAGTGATCATTATATGAGGAGGGGGAAGGACAGATTGGAAAGGGGTTGGGCTGGAGTTGGGGAACAGTTAGGGATACTGTAGAGCCCCTCAATAGATTTCTTGGTTTTTGCTAGTGTACCTATTGTAATACCTGCAATAGATTAGATAAAAGTAGATAAGGTACGGTAGTCGAGAAAGAGGAGATGAAGAAAGACGAGAAAGAAGAACGAAACTTTTGAGAGAAAAATACCTATTCGAAAATCGGGATAGTGTAATGAGTAGACGAGTAAGATAGGAATTGAGAATAGTAATGACAATGGTACTGTTACTGAGAAGAATGAAATTGAAGGATACAGTAGAGATTGAAAGGGATACGCTGCAGGTGCAAAGTGGTAATGGTAGTCTAGCCTGCCTGATTCTCTGGCTTTTTAGAAACCTCTCAAATCCGGCTACAGTAAGTTGTTACAGTTCCAATCACTTTTACAGTTTGTTCCTTCAATGATGCCAGTCGATATTGACTACAGTAAGTTGATCAGAGAATTCTCCACGATCTATTTCGTTAAAACAATCTCTCAATTTGAAGATAAGCGAACCATAAATTTGCAATTAAATCTTATTTTGAAAGATGACCAAATTTGCATTTAACTCGTTGGCGTGTTTCCCTCCTTTAAATATTTTTCTTCATTTCACATCATCTGCTCATCCGATTCGGCGACTTCTCGAGATTCTTCTAAATGGATGGATCACTCGTCACCGAAGAAATTCGGATCCTTCCATTTTATCACGGTAAGCACATTTTTGATTTGTTTATGGTTTTTTAAAAACTGATACTTAATCTTATAGTAAGTTTGTTTATTGTGGTTTTTGATGCTTTTTAGCTCCGACTGTGTGAAACCTAAACATAACCTAAGAACAAATCATACATACCGGATTCATTCTAATAGAAGCACGTGTCCTTCAATTAGAGGCCTCCCGGTACTATATGGACTTTGGGGGAGCAAAAGAAAGAGAATTTTTCACTCTATTATTTGAGACCAAATTTATGACTATAGGTTAAAAATCAAATTTTTAGTGCAACTTTTTCTCCTGACGTGAGTGGGCGGGGTTTAGGGGAGCCTCCAATAGGAGCACATGTGCTTCTAGTAGAATAAATACGGTAGTCAGTGTTAGTGTGCAAAAAGTTAATGCATAAAGTTTGCTAGTGATCGGTAAAAGTAAAAAGCTTAGCGAGTATCGTTTTTATCGTTTAATGCTGTCTACATTTCAGGTCTTCTACCGCGAGAAGACATCTCCGACCTTTTGCGCAGAGAAGGTCAATTCCTGCTGCGAATCTCCGAAACGGTGAGCTTTTGATTTCTATTCTTTAATATACTTTTTATAGAAAGAAGATGAAGGAGAAAAGACGCTCGTCATTTCGTTTCGACGAGCCCTAGATCCGACGATTAATCGACAATCAATTGAAGTATGATCTTGATATACTTTTAATGAGATTTCCTGTCTTATGTTTCTTTCATTTTAGGACAAAGTAAAGAGCGGCCGGAGTGGAAGCGGCAAAAGAAGCACCAGACGAACGATAACGAGTGGAACAAAAAAGGTGGATCGGGAGAAAGAAAAGATGGAAGCCGACAAAAGACTCATCAAGCACGCGATTGTCCATCTTGTCAACAACAGATACACGATCGATCAAAAAGAAGTAAAGTTTTTGTTTAAATACTATACAATTGTTGTTTTTAGTCATTCGAAACGCTCCTCAAATTGATTGAATACCATTCGCGACGTGATGCCGTCATTAACGAACGTGGAAAGGTTTCGCCATTTTGTGCTACAAACAAATATTTCTTTTTTTAGCAAATCTCATGTCGTCTCGAATATCCAGTCATCCGCCAATCTTGGGAATACGAGCACAGCGACATTCAACTCGAGAAGAAATTGGGCAACGGGGAATTTGGAGAAGTGTGGAAGGGAAAGATTCGACGGCGACAAGATGGAAAATGGGTGAATGGAGCGATCAAATTGGTGAGATTATACCTATCCTAAAGTTTTTCTAGTCTTTCTATTCTTTTTATTGTTTTCTTCAGTCGAAAGGCGAGAACGCGGCATCGAAGAAGAAACGCAAGGAAGTGATGCTCGAGATTCGCATGATGAGAGATTTGAAACATCCAAATGTGGTGAGTTTTAGCTTCAGCTATTGTTTATGAGCTTTCTATTTAGGTTCATGCTTATGGCGTGGCGGTACTTCAGAATCCAATCTATATTCTCATCGAGCTCGTCAGCGGTGAGAATTTTCTAACTTGATGAAACGAATCGTTTTGATTTCAGGCGGCGATCTACAGAAATTCTTGAAAAACAAAGGCAGAAATCAGAAGTCAAAAGAGAAGAGACTCCTCGTTTTTCATGTGAGTTTGCTCTTTAAATTAACTTTATTGTTCTTTCTTTTAGGCAGCCTGTGGTATTGAGTACATTCACGCGAATGGAATTATTCATCGAGATTTGGCTGCCAGAAATTGTCTCTACGATGGACGACGGGTTGGGTGTTTATAAATGCAAAAATAAATTCATTTTTTTAGCTTCGCATCAGCGACTTCGGCCTATCGGTGAAAGGACCAACTTATGAGATTCCATCAGGAGGAAATCAAAGATTGCCCATTCGATGGTTGTCACCCGAAGTTTTGACGGTGAGCTTTTTCAAGTTAACATGTCATCGATGACTTTCAGGAAGGGAAATTCTCGTTCGAATCAGATGTTTGGGCGTTTGGATGCCTCGTTTGTGAGATCTATGCGAATGGTGAAGCGCCCTACGATGGAAAAACGAATTCCGAAGTAAAAGAGATCGTAAGTGGATAAGGATTCAATGGCTTAATGTACGGATTTTAGTTGCTGGATAATGGAAAACCGGGGCTGGCAGTGGGGATGTGGAAGAAATTGGCGACGTTTCTCAACGATGGAATCTTTCTGCCCGAGAGGGACCGTGCGAGCATGCGAGGGGTGAGTTTTATCAACATACAGTATATTATGATATTAGGCTGTCCAGAAAGTCCTTTTCATACTTCCGTTGAAAAATAGCAAATTCATCAATTAACCTATGTTTTGTTCTAAATAAAAAGTGTTTATTGTTCAATCAATTTGGGTTCACTTTCCAGCAAATTCGAGGGTGGAAACGTGTTTTTCGTAAAAATCTATAAAAATCTCTACAAAGAAATTGGCTGAATCAATTTCTCTGAAAATTTGGCTATATACCTAACTTTTTATGCTCTATCTTTTATCTATTGACACCAAGATAGATTTCCCTAGCTAAAGTGTCTAAAACCACAGCATTAAGCCGTCGCCCTTTTTGACTACCCGACTTCACGCCCCCGAAAAAAATCCAGACATTTTAAACCCGGTTTAATGTTATTTTGCAGAAAAATAATTGGCCTTTCTAATGAAACAAACCGTAGTTCAATTGGTGCATTTGTTGGTTTTAAAAGGAAGTACGAAAATGAAAGAAAAGGCTTTCTGAACAACCTAATACCTTTTCGTCAATGTCATTTTTAGGTTGTTGATTTCCTCTCACTCGCCATCGACATTCCTCGACCCGACGAATTACACTCCGATGATGAAACAAGGTACAATTTTAGTTTCAAACTTATCCTATTTTTCTCCTTCAGGACAATCGCATCAATTGCAGCAACAACGACAACAACGACAACATCAACGGCACCATCAGAAGCAGGAACAATCAACAGTTCGGGACATGCACTCCTCATTCCACTCAATCTCGGCTGATCAGCCGCAATCGATCGATGGATAAAAGAATATCTTTGACAAATTCCTTTTGGATTTCATAATTTACTTGTGTCGATTCACCTTTTTTGCCATTAATATGTATTTATTTGAGTTGAAACTTACAGTCATTGTGCCTTTGATGATTCATTGTTATTTCGTAACTCGTCTGAATAAAGGGACATTGCTTTTGGGTTCGAAAGATTGTGTATCAATTTTCTCAGTAAGTCTTTAGGTTCTTTCAATTTTCTCACACTTCCGAGTCCAAGACGAGTCCAGTCATCACACAAAGCTGCAATACACTGCGTCTGGCAATCACCATAGCCTTTGTTGAAGGTTTTACGGTAACGTGGAAACTCTGGCCAGCGTTTGGCTCTAAAAAAGCTAATACTAACCAATTTCTAATCCAAAAGTTATTTTTCTGGATAAGGTCGCATTTGACCCACTCCCTCGGAGATTTCTGGTGATAAACTTTCGCTCCAGTCGCTTTCATTTGATCTGTAAATGCAAATTTTGGCGTTTTACATTATTATGCTAATTTTTCTTTAGTATTGTTTCTTTAAAATCATCGATTCATTTTCTCAATATTTCAAAAATGTCTTCTTTCAATTCATTGAGGACCGTTTTCCGGCTTATTTTCCTCGATCGGTGAGTGAAAAGATTTTCTGCTGTATTGGAATTCATTTTCATTTTAGAATTCGCCATCTCTTTAGCCGAAATGTGAAATGGTCGCTTTCTCTCATCACGTGGATATCATTTCTCTTTTATTGGTTCGTAAATTTTTTTTCTCCATTAACCTGATCGCAAACACGGCTTTTTTAAGATAGGCACACAAAATTTTAATAATTTTTTTGCTCCTTTAGGTACCAATCGCTGATCGTCGGTGTGATCGCTCGTGGCCTTCCCGAGTCTTGCAGTCACAATTTCTTTGAAATCAATCTCATCTGGGTGCTCATCGCATGCATTTTCTTCTCGGCTGTAAGTTTTATGTTTAACTTGTTGTTTTTAGTCTTAATTTTCTATAAGATTATTTTTAGATGTACTCTCCGCCAAAACCGATTCCCGACGAGTATATCATCGATAACGAAACGATCGACGAGGAACGAAGAAAAGCGATTGAGATGGAAAAGTCGGTTATTTATTTTTCAAAACATAGTTCACGGATCTGCTACTAATTACGGTCTTTTAGTCTCCCAGTATGTCGTCGTTGTGATGTTTACAAACCGCCAAGGGCTCATCATTGCAAAGTGTGTGGAAAAGTTACCATATTACCAGGAATTCTTGAATAACTGCTAAAGCATTTTCTTTTTAAGATTTGTCAGCGTTGTATTCCCCGAATGGATCATCATTGCCCGATACTACAGGCAATATTTGATCATTCTTCATCGTAATTATATTTTAGTCGTGCGTTCATCATCACAACTACAAATTCTACCTTCTCTACTTGATCGTCCCCTCATTTTTCGGAATTTACGTGACAATATGGTTAAGGTGGGGGTTAAATTGATTTGAATTACGGCAAAAGTTAGTTCGTTCTTTAAAAGTTTTCCTATTTAGAAAGTTTATGTGGAGAATAACTGTGAAGATCATAAATGGAAATGAACCATCGACAATCGATCATTTCATTATTGGAGCGTATTGTAATGCGGCGGTAAGTATCGATTGAATTATTTTCGAGTCGATGCGTCTAGATAATCGCTATCGGTGTCACGTGGTTATCTTCAATTCAGCTCAAACAAGCCATTCGCAACCGAACAACCATCGAGCAGAATAAATTGGAAAAGCTCACCGAACAGGATGAAAGCTTGATTGAAGAGGTTTCTTTGAAGAAACCTATATCTTACCATTATTTTTAGATTTACGATTTGGGCTCGGTGAACGCCAATTTGACTGAGGTGTTTGGTGAACCGCCAAAAACTCCACAACTAGTATCGTTTCTTCGGGTAGGATATGACCTATTTATTTGTTTTTCTCTTTTTAGCCATTTTTCAAGATAATCTACTGGTTGTCGCCGATTGATTCGATGCACTGAGATGGTCTTTCGTTTAAAATGAAGGATCGACAATTGAATGGCGAATTAAAAACGATCATATTTTTTGCGTTTTGTTTATTAAATTCACGAAATATGGCTTATATTAAAGATTGCACCTCGAAAACAAGAAAGAAATCACAAAACAGATACCCGAAAGAGCAAAGAAAACTTGCAAAATGTTGGTATTTTTATCTGGTTGAATCGCTAATATTATTGGATTAAAGATCTTGCTATTGAGAAACAGGACGATTTGGACAAGTACTCTGATGGGCTTGTATTCCGGAAGATGGATAGAGATGCATCGGATTAAAAGCACACACCACAAAAGCAGCCTAAAGATAATTACTAAAGATTCCAATCAAACTCTGAATTACTTTTTCTTTTTCATTCGCATTTTCATTTTCAAGGTGTTCGTCACCGGTGATGAGCTCAAACGTTCTTGTCCCACTAAAAACTCGTTAACAAATCTATTATTTTTGAAAAAACCTTGGATTTTGACTGCCTCGATAAGATAATTGCCCATTTGGACGATATCCATTTCTCAACTGACCAGAGGGTCTTCTCGGTGCATTATATTGAAATTGGCGATCACTTCCAGATTGCGGGGTGAATTTTTGTGAATCATGACCGCGAGATCCACTTCTTCCCTCTCCTCCACGAACTTGTGGCGGATATTGTTGTTGTTGATAATTCTGACCTTGGCCTCGATCGTACTGTTGAATTTGTTGAAATGATTGACCGGGAAAGTGACGAGGCGGTTGTTGACGATAATTCATTTGTTGTGGGTGCTGTTGAGGGAAACATCCGCTGTTTCCTAAAGCAGCTTTACATAGAGATTTTGTTTTAATATACCATATACCTAATTATTTCTTGTTTAAAATTAAGAAAGTACCTCCTCGTCTATAATTCGACTGTAATGGATAACGCGCTTCTGGCCTCACTATGGGAGGAAGATTTGCAGCTAAAATTAAACCACATTAACGGCAAAAAAATCAAAATTTTTAGCTCCCCAATGGCTATCTATTTGTGTGATCTAGTCTAAACAATCACCAAAACACGAAATAAACAAAAAATAATCACCATTAACAGGAAAGGATCCTCGATATTCGACGTAAGCTGTCGTAAGTCGATTGGACAAAGCTAAATTCTAAGTTAAGAATTGTTTAGGAAAAATGTTATACAATTTTGTTGCTGTACAATAGGCTGAGGAGGTGCATTTGATCGTTGATCGCTCTGTTGCATTGGAGCCGAATTGCCTTGCCTAGTTGTTTTCCCTGGAACTAAAGCCATGCAACTTACATAATTCATAAGATCCCAACCTTGCTGAGCGTTTGCTTGATTCGAATTTTGGCTTTGGGCGAAAGAAGCAAGAAACTGAGGATCTACAAATAATTGATTATTAATAAAACCACGGGTAACCCACTGTCTGCATTATCATCATCATCGTCATCTTGAGCCCATTTGTTCGCCATCACGTACCTAAAACAATCCGTGATTAAACGAGCCCCTAGGTTTTAGAAATCAAGAGTAAAGTACGATGTTACAAAGTTTTGCATCAAAGAAAGCTTTTTATACAAAATAAGCGGTGACCGAAGTATCGAGTCTGGACAAGCAAATAAAAAAGCTTATCTTGTTTAAACTCACTTTACAGGTGTCGAATTCCAAATATGTTTGTGTTAATTGATGAACTTTTGAACAAATTTTTATAGATGTGAAATAACTGGACAATGCAAAAACAAACCGAAAACGAAACCGAATTCAACAAACTTGGTCCATAAAGTTTATTTGTCTTTAATTTCTTGCAAACATTGAAATGAAAGTAAACAATAAACAGTTCAATGAAGGTAAATTTGAGACAGTAATCAAATCTAGAAAAGGATGCAATTCAATGAAGAACAAACGGAACAATTTAATAATTAGTACAAAGTTAACAAAAAATCATGAGATTGTGATTAACCCGCGCAAAAAAAAACAAGAAAGTTACTATTCCTCCATTCGATTTCTCGAAGAACGTCCCCTTTTTGTTGGAGTCACTGATGGAGCTTTGGATGAAGCGATCGACGTTGAAAATGAACGAACTGATGAGACATCATCAGGGTTTCTCTCCTGAAAGAAGTTATCAACTAAAAGTGATAGATTTTATAAAACGAACCTTAAGACTATCCTTATAAAGCGCATAGCTTGACCAAAGTGGGCTTTCCGTTGGAATACGGCCCATCGCTAGAGCGTGTTTCTCCAAATAACGACGGCTAAAGGTTTGCTGTAAGATAATCTTTGCTTGAAAACTTACATGCATTCCTTGTCTTGTCGAAGCAATTTTTGTGAAAATTCTTGAATGACCTCAAGAAAACTGACATTTGTGGGATTCTTTGACGCTCGACCACCAGAGATCTCAAGAGCAAAAATGATACCATCTCTAAAAACTCCTACAGTTGATATAAATATTGTGAAAAACAACCTATGAATCTTGGCAATTGATTCACGGTTTCGTAAATGGTCATTTCCAAAGATTGAAGACAATCGACGAGCCAATTCGTGAAGCTGAGCAAAATCTTCAGACAACGGGTCAACGTGTGGTGTTTTAGAGGTTGACTAGAAATATGGTTTATGTTGAAAAAAACTAAAGACCAACCCGTAATCTTTCGTAAGCCATTTGCAAGGCCTTTCCAACGGCACTAGCAGTGCTCAACATTTCGGCATCACGACACTTTGAAATGATCATTTTCATAATGTCTCCAAAATCTTGATAGTACTAAAAGAAGAATTAATTAGGCGCTTTTTTAGATACTTACTTTCACATATTGCTCAAAGATTTCTGCCGCTTCACCAATGGGAAGCACTCCGTAGATCACGAGTTTGCCATAATTTGCCAATAGTCTTCTACGTTTCATCATCATTTCAAGCTGCTCCTAAAAGTAAATCTTTACAATTTTTAAAGAAAAAAAACTTGTTGATCAAATTGAGTGGATGCTTGGGAGAAAACATTATCTACAACATAGGTTTTCAATCGGCGGAGAAGTTTCTAAAGCTGCAGGTTAATTTTTCAATTTATATTTGATATTACTTGATCCATTTTGAAAACAAGTCCTTTCCAGTTATCATTTCGCTCGGCTAAATGTTCATTGAAGATTAGAAGTGCGTCACACATAGCCAAGTACGTCTGAAAACTTAAGGCTTTTTCGAATTGATTAACGAGATCAATACCGTCTCTAAGCCACTGACATGCTCCATCATAATTTGTTCACAACAGGTGAAAAAGTTGGCCACCCGTTTGCTCAATTTTTTCAAAGCATCCTGAAAAGACATACACAATTTTAAAAAGAATAGTTACATTTCGATTGGGCTCAATATCGTGAATGATTCGCTGAAGATCCCAATTCAAGACTAGACACATATATTGGACGCACAGTTGAACGACTTCTGATGGAGCACGCCCTTCCTCCCAAGTTGTGACCTTAAAAAACATTTGGGCATAGCTATTAACCGAATTGCATACCTGAATGCATCTATCAAAGACATCTTTCTTTCCTGTGTCAATGTGGCTGGCGAAACCAACAAGCTTCCGAAAGGCGCTCTTCATTGCAGCTTCGTCATCCTCGTCGATAACCTAAGCGATTTATAAATCAACCGTTCTAGAAACAATTTACCTCGTCTTTTTCCAATCGATCAACTTGTAAGCCAACTTGCAACGCTACACCGTCAACCAGCTAAATTAACAGCAATCAATCTCAATCTAATTTATTTGACACCTTTATTCTTGCAGTTTCTGTGACTTGAGCAGTTCCACTGTATGAAGAAAGATGATTAATAACTTCAGCTACCTAAACATGATACTTCAAGAAGCTAAGACAATTAAAGTAACCTGCGCAAGCACGTCGCGATCTGGATGACGTTCAACGACATTTTCCAAAGCTTTCATGAGTTCAGCAGCATGCTGAAATGGGTTGTTTTTGATTAGAGAAAGTATATTGTGTACCTGTGTTAATTGTCCTGCAACATACATCTCAAGTTGAAAGTATAGTGGTAAAACCACTAAATTGCACACTTTTTCACGATCAGCAATGTACTAAAATAACAGGTAAAAAAAAATTACTTTTTAGAGACAGTTACCGTTTGAAGAAGAAGTGGAAGTTGAGGAATAAAAACCTCGCTGATTTTGGTTCTCTCATCGGCTAGTTGGCGAGCTTCACGACTATTAGCAGCTTGAGGACCACGTTTTGCCTTAACAAATAGATAGTGCCACAATGTGAAAGTAACTACAAACCATTGCTCTTCCAACTGGGTGGTCTCCGGTTGCTGCTTGCTTGATTGAACAACACATGATTTCAATGATTTGCGCATCGCATTGAGCCGCTATAATTGATGCAACTGAGTAAATAACATTGAAATTTTTACCTTCATCGTTTTTCAAAAGTTCAATATAAGATCCCCAGTCTTTCACAATCTCATTTGAGTCGATTAAAGCGTCAACGAGATAAGCACCATGTTCGTGGCACTAAAGATTATAATAATACCGATTTATGAAGCAAAACATTACTTCTCCTTCAATGAAAAACCGGATGAGATCCAGGAGCAACTCTTTGTTTTGACTGGTCTTTGGGTCTGAACCAGCTGGTGCGGCATTGGGAAACACCTATTTCCAATTTGATAAATTAATGGAAAATAATCAAACTTTGACATTGAGAAACTCTCCGGCAGCAACAGCCAGAGGACGATAATTTGTGTAGACCAGCTCGTAGATTGGAACGCAATCGTCCTTTGTCAGAAGAGTTGGAAAAGCTCTAGGGTAGAGATAGCTTTACAGTTTAAAAAAACCTACCTATATATAGCACTCATAAGTTCGCATGCTTTCACAGCTGTATCAAGATGTTTATCCATCACCATGCTCACCAAGCGTTCCTAAAATCCAACTATATTCAACGGACTTTATCCTGTGAAAAACTTTGAATTTGTTCGAGAAAAGCTCTAGTTTGCCGACGATTTCCTGGCGATTGTAAAGGGGAAGCAACGCTTCTAAGCATTTGAAACGAACTTCGGGCATCTAAAGAGCGAATAAAATCTTTTAAACCATACTTTATTATCGTGCATTTCAAAAGAATTTTACCTACCTTGTCATGCAAACTCCATCCGATATATTTGAGGTAACTGTCGTCCAAAAAGTGTTCCGGGTATACAATCATCCATTTTCCCAATTCGTTAATGCAAATGGAACGAATATCAGGCAAGCAATCTCTATAAAAAAACTTAAAAACAAAGCTATCGCGTTACTTACCGATAGCGGTGAACAAAGACACTCTTGAAAATGTATTGAAGCATGTCGCTGACATCTTGTGCATGCTCTTTGAGCTAAAACACGAACCATTAGAACTTCATTTTTGCACAAAACCTCTGTCTTTCTAGCAATCAAAACATCCAATTTGTCGTTGTTTCCCGATCCACCCATTGCTTTAAGCTTGGCCTGTTCAGCCTCAATTTGTCGTTCATTCTTGGCTTTATTCTCAACAAGCTCCAAAGTCACATCAACCAAAGCAGATGAAAGTGTCATGGCTAAATGAATCAAATGATAAGTTTTACTAGCATAAAAAAATACCTGCAAACGTAGCGGTATGGCGAAAGGCTCGTACTTGACTGTCAGCCAGTGTTGTGAGTAGTTGAATAACAGAATCCATCATTTGATTGTTGAAAATAATCGAATGCTTGCATTCAGCAACAAGCGTCTAAAATTGGTAGTAGCTCGGTAGGTAAAAACATTCATAAACTTCTAAATATTACCATAATCATTTGTGAGAAATTTCCTCGAAAACGTTTCCATTGTGCTCCAGTCATGACCTGAATTTGTTTTGTACAAAACACGTAGCTCTAATTTACCATTGGATAATCACCCGATTCTTCATCAAATTCTTCAGTCATGTGTCGAACGATTTCCCTAAACAGAAAGGTTAGTGATTTAAAACTGATTAGTTATTTACGAATATTCCAATTTCAGCAACATATCTCCAGTAAGCTTTCCACGACATCCAGAAGAGGAAAGGAAAAATTGGAGCAATTCGGTGAGGGCATCATCTGGATTCGCCTCATAATTGTTAATCCATTCTTCAACCACTTTCTAAGACAAAAACAACTTCGTTTCATTTAAAGTGCAATACCTTAAAATCGCCACCATGTTTCACAGCTCCCAATAAACCTCCATCTTCGGTCAATTTCCCTCCACTCCTTCGTGCGCCACCACGTCCGCCGCGGGTCGAGATTCCACCTCTGGGTCTTCCTCTTTTGGGCTAAAAAGAAGCGTTATATATGATACAAGTCTTCCCAACAAATAAATGTAAAACTTACAATTTCTCCTCCTTCGCCAAGTCCATCAAGTGGCACTTTTCGTTTCCTTCCTCGAAATGGTGTTGTCGGCACACGAAACACCCCATCGTTGTTATCCACTTCAGTGCTGCTAAACGACCAAAAATTTTAAAACAATCACAAAGGTTACTTGTTTCTAGAGCTTTCACCACCCAGCTCGGCGTAATTTCTTACGATTCCACGTGTGGTCATGCGGTTCGGAGTCGATGAATCCATTCTAAAGATAAAACATTGCATTTAGGCTACAGCTAAAACCAAAGAGAACATATAAGAGGTAGAACACAGCCGAACAAAATCGCAGGTAACAGGGGCAAACGGGGATGTCATCAACATAGTCAAGCTAGTTGCTGCTCCGGTTATCCGTCAATTACTCAAAGCTAGTGCAGCAAACCTAGACATATATTTTTGCTCAGTTGGTTCCTCAAAATTCAAAGCGTTAGTGTGAATTGTACTCATCAATATTTCAAGTTCAAATTGCCTCTCAGTTCTTGACTCTCAAAGAAGATAAAATGGCAGAGGTCCAAGAGAACAAACTACAGCGTCGCCGAAGCGCGCCGGGACGCTAAATTTTAGCGCCGGAGAGTGGCGTTGCGGTAGAAAATTGCGATTTTCGATTATTTTCGCGAAAATGTTAGGAATTACTTTTTTGAAACATTTTGCTTTAAGTTTTTGCCCCAAATGAGACTTTTGCCTAAAGATGGAACCAAATACTAAAACTTAAATACCCAACCATTCAGCAATTGCTTTCGCTGTTAAGTATTCAGTCTAAAAATTGAACATTTTGCTTTTGAAAACCACATTTCGCCCGAAGTTTTCCTTTCTTTTTCATTTCTTTTGTTTCTTCATTTGTTCCATCAAATCGTAGGATCAATTTCTTTTTACTCGTAGTCCACGGACTTAACTATTCGTCTATTTTGGCTTAACCTTTGAGTGCTTGTAAAAATTAAAACATTTTCCATAAAGTTACCCCTTTGGCACATTCTTATTCAACCAAGTTAGCGCTTTCTCCTTTCTTGTTGGAAAAGCTTTAATATTTCATAATTTTTACTTTCAGCTGAATGATGGATGAGGAACAACTCCTTGACTACGAAGAGGAGAACGAGGACACGAACCGTGTTACCGAGAAAGGCGAAAATGGCGCTGGAGATGGGAAGAAGAAAGTGAAGGTATTGTTTTCAATTGCTTTCCTTTTATTTTTGTGATTTAGGGCACATATGCCTCAATCCACAGCAGCGGTTTCCGCGACTTTCTTCTAAAGCCGGAGTTGCTTCGAGCGATTGTTGATTGCGGTTTTGAACATCCTTCTGAAGGTATCCATTTGGTTTGGACGACCCTATAAATCTATTTGGCTTAGTTCAACACGAATGCATTCCTCAAGCGATCCTTGGTATGGACATTGTTTGTCAGGCCAAATCTGGAATGGGAAAGACGGCAGTATTTGTGCTTGCCACTCTTCAGCAACTTGAGCCAACTGATGGAGAGGTATCTTTTATTTATTCGTGACTGAAAAACCTGCGTTTAGGTTAAAGTTCTTGTGATGTGTCACACTCGCGAACTTGCTTTCCAAATTTCAAAGGAATACGAGCGTTTCAGCAAGTATATGTCCAGCGTGAAGGTATGCTTAATCAAATTTGCCCAACAAAGTATTATTGCTTTAGGTGGCTGTTTTCTTTGGAGGCATGCCAATCAAGAAGGACGAAGAAACTTTGAAAAGCAACTGCCCTCACATTGTCGTTGGCACACCTGGTCGTACCCTTGCCTTAGCCCGTTCTGGAGCTCTCAACTTGAAGAAAGTTAAATTTTTTGTCTTGGACGAATGCGACAAGATGATCGGAGATCTTGGTTCGTGTTTCGTTTTTCTTCTGGCATAATTTTTTTTTAGATATGCGTCGTGACGTGCAAGAGATTGTTCGAATGACCCCAAAGGAAAAGCAAGTGATGATGTTCAGCGCAACTTTACCCAAGGAGCTCCGCGTCGTGTGCAAGAAGTTTATGCAAGATGTAAGATGCCCATCGATCTACAACTTAATTTGTGTCCAACCGAACCTGCGCCGGGCTTGCTCGGCAGGATAACAATGGGTGCTGTCAGGTAAACGTTATTATGGAATCTTTTGCTAACTTGCTTTCTAGATACCGATTGGTGGCTGCAGAACCTATACGTTCGGATAGTTTGGAGTCCACTCCAGGATTTGAAGCCGGGATACTGAGAGCTTTGGTTTCTTTCAGTCAGAACTATGAGTACCTGAAGAAGGCTAAGGCTCAGAGTGATTAATTTTGGCTGTTTGTGTCATTAACGTAAAATGCTATTGAAGTAAACTAAATGATTTGTTTAGCCTATGGAAGTCTATGTGGATGATGAAGCAAAACTCACTCTTCACGGATTGCAACAACATTATGTGAAGCTAAGAGAAGCCGACAAGAACCGAAAACTGCTGGAGCTCTTGGATTTGCTTGAATTCAATCAGGTAATCACGTCCTGTTGTCTTGACTCTAATCCGTTTTTTTTTAGGTTGTGATCTTCGTGAAGAGCGTTCAACGTTGTGGTGCCCTTCATGGTCTTCTTGTCGAACAAAACTTCCCCTCGATCGCAATTCATCGCCAGATGCCTCAAGAAGAACGTCTCTCTCGCTACCAGGCTTTCAAGGACTTCCAGAAGCGTATTCTCGTCGCTACCGACCTTTTTGGACGCGGGATGGATATTGAGCGTGTAAACATCGTTTTCAACTACGACATGCCTGAAGGCTCTGACTCTTACCTTCATCGTGTAAGTTTTGTGTTTAACGATGACGACAAACAAATGACGTTTCTCTAGGTTGCTCGTGCCGGTCGTTTTGGAACAAAAGGACTGGCCATCACATTCGTGTCGAACGATGATGATGCAAAGGTCTTGAACAGTGTCCAAGATCGTTTCGACATCAGCGTCACCGAACTTCCCACCAACATTGAAGTCTCAACCTACATCGAGGGGCGAGCCGAATAATCTCATTTCAAACGTGTTTCTATTCTAATCCAAATCATTGGTCTCATTTTGTTAACTGTTGTAAGCATTTCGCTGTTTCCCTATTTAAATATATCTTGAAATTTTTGGTTGAAAATAAATATTACTTTGGTTTTAGGGTGGCGTGTCAAATTTCGGTCTTTACCGTTATTTTCCTTGGAGCACTTTTATTTTCTGTTTTTTTTTTGTATGGGAAACGTTTTAATCAATCCTGTTTTAGGGTAGCAATTCATCATGAAGCTCATCGAGTCACATGATAGCGTTTCTTTTCCTGATAATGTTACCTTCACCGTGAAGGGACGCGTTGTTCATGTCAAGGGACCAAGGGGAGCACTCGTCCGCGACTTCAGACATTTGCACATGGAAATGGTACCAATACGCTTCTTTTTCTAAATAAATTTCTCGAATTTAGGAGCGACTTGGAAAGAACACCATCCGCGTCCGAAAATGGTTCGGAAACCGTAAAGAGCTCGCTGCCATCCGTACTGTCTGCTCCCACATTCAAAACATGATCAAGGGAGTTACCAAGGGCTATCGTTACAAGATGCGTTCCGTCTACGCTCACTTCCCAATCAACATTGCTCTTCAAGAAAAAGGACGACTGATCGAGGTACCGGATTTCCATGATATAAATCGTTGCAAGCAGGTTCATAATGGAGAGCAAAAATTTTTTGTTCTACCTCCCGAACCGGCTGAAAATGAAGCCAGCGGATTCGCTAGCGATAGTCACCCATGACTATAGTTTGATAGTAGACCGCTCGACATTCAAAATATAGTTTTGTTATGAGTTTTTACTTTACCATTTCTGTTTAGATTCGTAACTTCTTGGGAGAGAAAATCATCCGACGAGTGACCCTTCCTGATGGAGTGACGGCTGTCATGTCGACAACTCAAAAAGACGAGCTTGTCATCGATGGAAACGATCTTCAACTGGTTTCGCAAGCAGGTATTAGATTAGTCGAAGTAGAGATTTAAAGCCGATTTTCAGCGGCCAGCATTCAACAGTCTACCGCCGTGAAAAACAAGGATATCCGGAAGTTCCTCGATGGTGTCTACGTCAGCGAGAAGACGACAATTGACGAATAATTTTTGTTATTTTTGTTATAAACTTTTTGTTGCTATAATCTTATAAAATTTTGCATGATATTTGAGAGATAGCAAGGGCAAGCGATGCATTTCCACAGATTGGCAAAAACCTTGGATCATGATTGACAGAATGTAAAATAAACACCTATTTCCTCGACAACGTTATTAACAAACTTTGAGCGAGCGAGTTTTACGCAAAGAAACTATTTAAAGCAAAAATTCTCATATCTCTACAACGGGATGCCTCCGGCAAACAATTTTAAGGGTTCAAACTCAGATGTTGTTTTCTTGTTTCTTACAATATCTTTATTATCTACACATCACCAGTTAAAGGCTATAAAAACGAATACATTATGTCATAGCCAAGCTTGTAAACGCCCAACCACAAGAAACCTAAATCGAAAAAGCACAATAAATTACATATGGATAGAGGTGATGAGAGAAATGTTCTTGCAATGTATAGAAAGCATTTTATAAATTGAAACATTAAATCACAGATCTGAAACAATTCACATCTCAAAGCAACAAACAAATCAGTCATTTAACCAGGAAAAAAATGATCATTTGAATGCGTGCTTAAATCGGAAGAGATAGCTCGCTAATTGAGGGCACTTCCAAGAACATCCGCCACTCCATCATCATCCGATCTAAAAGAAAAGAAAGTGAATGGCATAGAAGAATTTCCTCCTAATATTTAGGTTTGTAGATGGATCACAAAAAGAATTTACCGAATCACAATGTTCATGTTAATTGTTCCATCAGTTGGATCGATCGCCGCCTTTGCTTTTACCAAAACCTCGTGCCCCCCGCGGAAAACGCCGGCAAGGAGTGCTTGGTGATTGCTTTTTCCTTCGGGCACCAGATCCGATCGTTCACATGCAGCCACGCCCAACAATTCGGAGACTTTCTTGATTGCTTCTTCGAGAGTCGAAACGGACGAAAGGGCAAATGTTTGATCAATCTAAACTTATAGAATTTTCCCAGAATGATCGAACTAGTTAATAGAAAAGCTTTTACCTCAGCGGCTCCCTCTAATTTCTCCCAACCAGCGTTGAAATGCTGTCGTACAAGGGGTTGCACTGAATCCGAAACGCCGATATCCACTTCTTCCAACTAAAAAGGAAAGAAAATGGTTTTCATACAAATAAACAAGAAACGTACAACATATTGATCATCATAAGTATCATCAGATTCGGGTTCTCCCGTTTTTGGATCCACATCTTTAACTTTGAACTTCAACGAGCACTCGAATTGTCCAACAACAGCGCCTAAAGTTTGTTTGTATAATATGAAAATCTCAATGTTATTACCTGAATCAGGATACTCCAAGACGAGATAGGCACTTCGAGTTTCTCCATAGGGTAAAGCGTCGATATCAATTCGATCAGTGATTTGCCATTCGGGCTCATCACCCTGCTCCTCCAATACAACGGCCACTTCTACCAATCGTTGATCTTCCACCGTATTGCGGCAGTCGAACTAAACAAAACATATAAAAGATCATAGATTAGACAAACATTATCAATATTAAACACTCACTTGTAAAACGATGTGATTTGTGAAGGTATGCTTGATCATTTGAACGGTGTACTCGGAAACTGAATCGTTGAGTGGAATGTTGGAAGACGAGTGGAAAAGTGGACCGAGTTGAGCCAATTGAGGAAGAGCACCAAGACGCTCTAAATGTTTGAATCAAGTTAACACTTATTTTTTTACTTTATAAACAATGATTGCTTACCTGAATGCTCTGGTTTCTTTGGTGCTTTTGGCTTGAGATCCTCGGGATCGGCCAACTTCGGTTTAGGCTTCTCGGTGTGTGTGATCGGTTGAGCTGCAATTGGAACCACTCGCATGTCGAAAGGCTTGTCGAATTTCTTCTCCTCCACATAGGCACCCAGAGACTTCTCCAAACCGATTGGGGACACCTTATACAGAAATTTGAACTACTTTTCTTTTTAAATACCTGTAGCTGATCAAGAATGAAGTTGTTGATGATTTGAGAGCTCTGTTGAAGCATATACAAATAGAAAGTTGCTCGATCGCGTACCTAAACACGTCAGTTTGTTTGTCAAATAAATTAATTTACTTCATCATCTGAGTCAAGCAAACAACGACGTAGAAGTACTTCAATTGATGGACGCAGTTCGGCAACTTGAGCGCCAAATTTAGCCAAGGCCGTCACAGCAGCGGCACGAACCTGAATACATAGGTGATTGAACAGAATCTTTCAAACTTCAAATCTGGTTCTTTACTTAATTTAACATTACAAACCATCAACAAACCTGTGTGCACTCTAGAATGACTCGATTGTAGACAAAACGGATGTAAGATTGAGGATTTGGCGTCTTCGGTGCTTCCCGTCCAAGTAGATGAAGAACACGAGTTGCCAACGATGGATGTTCACAATCCTCGATGAATTCACACAATTGAGCAAGACCTAAAGCAAAGTGTTCCTATAATTTTTTCAGTCGTCAACTTACCAGCTACTCGAGCATCCGGATTTTCCTCCACAATAGCAATCACTGTCTCAACGATAGCTTTTTTGTAGTCGAATCTGAAAATGAAAATATAACACATGGACAAGTTGCTCCCAACTTACCCTCCATCATTGCGAAGCATATTTGTCAAGAAGGGCATCATCACGGTGTGTTTGCGCGGATAACGAGCAATCAATGAACGAATGGCCTCAACAACCACAATCTGAAGAAAATTCCTCACTAAAAGACTTAATCGAAATGTTATTACCTTGAATTCATCGGAAATCTCTGAAACAAAACCGCTGATTTGTTTCATGAGTCGTTCAACAGAGCTCTCAGCACCTGTCTTGAGAAGCGTCGTGATTGCAAGAGTGGCGATTGAACTAAAATTTATAGAGATCCACATTGGAGAAGGTGTGTTAAAATCTTAAAATGCTTACTAGTAGTTTTTAATAAACTAACCGATTAGGATCCGTGATCAACTTTTCGAGATCCACATTGCATGAAGTGACTGATTGTGGATGTTTGCTGGCTACTTTGTTCAGCGTTCGCACAGCCGCAAAACGAACAGATGGCTTTGGAGAAGAGCAGAACAATTGAAGAACGGAGATTGCGGGGGCAAGTTCTTTCCTGTCACAAAAAAAGATAATCACTCAATGCATAAAGTGCTTTTACTTATCAAAAATATAACTTACGGTGTAGTATTCGGCAGAGAGACAATAGCTGAAGCTGCTTCATAGACAACCATTTCACTCTTGTGACGAAGGCAAGTGTCGATAAATTGGAAAAGAGCCGAATCAGCTCTAAAACAAAAAGTTTATTATCATCTGAAAGTTATCTACAAAGGTTCTGTAACGAAAACCTAATTTTTTCAGACAATTTTGTAATTAAGTTATATTAAAAGCTTACTGATCATCTTCTTCGAGGAGTTTTGTGGCAATGCGAATCAAATAGCAAACAGCGTACGGAGAACGAAGTCCTGATTTTGAAAACTTCTGCACTAGCTTGTTCACGGCAAGTCTAAAAAAATAAAATTTTCCAATGAATTTCAGCTAAGTAAGATCCCGTAAAATAGATTTGGGAATATGGATAGGTTAAAACAAAATTGACAGTAAAAGATCAGGATTCAACGTTTGGCAAACTCAAAAAGTTTTGTACAAAGAATCTTTCGTCTTGAATCATAATCTCAGCAGCTTTTATCCCGAAGTAAAAGAACGCTTGTCAAAATATTTTTCTTACTCATCATATCCAACTCCACGACATCTAAACTGATAGGGTGAGATCAAATGATAAAATTCACCTATCATTGCTGCGAATCTTGTAGAGCAATCCAAGGGCGTGATATTGAACCATTTGATTGTCCGATGAAACGGCTTCTTGTACTTCGTTGGCCCAACGACGGACAATCTGCAAAATAAGAAATAGCTTTCAACAATGACGAGAATTTAGCAAATTTCAACGAATTATTTTGCTGTCCCACAAAATCCCCAATCACTCACCTCAGCACTCTGTCGCATCATATGATTTGAAGAAACAAGAGCCGCCGAAGAAACCGATCCATTCCGATCGACGATTGCTTGTTTCATGTACCGCTCAATGGTTTGCAACATTCCTGCATCGATAATCTTGCAGAGGGCACGGATCGCACGCGCACGATAGAGATCCTCTCGTCCAGTCATATCTTTCATTAAACTTTGTGTGGCGATAATCACATCATCCGATGCTGTCGACAATTCCTTGATCGCGAGATAGATGAGACAACGAATCGTCACGTCTTTTGTTTGCCACAATTTCGTGATCGCGAAGAATGCCCGGGTGGCTTCGGCGCGTCCGATCGATTCTTCCTAAATAAAAGTTTAGTCAAGGGTTTAAAACTGATGTTAATTAGAGAAAATGGCATGGATCTTACAGAATCTCAACTAGAGCCTTTTGAGCTAGAATTCCATTTAAAAAGTAACCTGAAGGCGCAAGTAGAGTAGTTTTGTGAGCACACCACGACATTTTGGAATATTGATTGGAGTTTCATTGAAAGCGCGAGTCTAAAAAAGTTTGTAAAATAACAATCAAACCATAACACTTTAATATTCTTCAAAGTTCGTCTTAAGTAAGTAGTCTCTGGTTAGAAGATAGAATATCGAAAAACGTGCCTCTTGGATGACAGAAGTTTTATCGAGATTGGCATAGATGTTCCCACCGGCCTCCTCATCCTTCTTGTCGCGTTTCATTTCTGTAAAAAGGGAAAATAAATGAAATTGATAGCAAGATCAAGAAATTGAAAGAGCCAGATTGGCAATTAATTCGAAAAGGACACAAATTGGCAAATTTGACTTTTCAATAAATTTAAGTTTAAGATAAATGAAACGTAGTATAGTTTTCGTGCGAGGTGGTTAAAGGACCTTTTTCTGACACGTTTCTGTCTACAGCCCAGTACAATTTGCTCGTCATGAGGAAAAAGGTATACGGTGGAAAGAGCGCAAAAGTCGTGAAAGAAATGTCGCAGTATGGAAGCTCTGCTCATTTCATACAAGGATTGCTTTCAAAAAACAAACATTCGTTATAATAGGTACATGTAATCGAATATAAAAGAATATTAATACATTCTGACAGTGGCACCAGTTGGTGGGTCACAAATCTAAAAAAGTAGCGATTGCATGAGAAAAATCAGACGTCATTATCGTAAATAACTTATATCCGTGAGTCGGTTGAGGTCCGGCCGTATTACCACTTTGCACACTAAATATAACAGCCTTTCGAGAAAATATTAAACCACCAACCAAGCAACCATTTGACCACGAGTACCGCCATGAAGATTGAAGACGTATTCGAAGCTGGCCAATTGTGATTTCCTGATTCCGAATCTAAAAGAATTTTTAAAATACAGCTTTTTTTGAAAATCGCAATTTATTGGAAAAAAATCGTCATTTTCTATAGAAATGGCTAAAATGACCTCTCTTCGAAAGCCGAATTCTCGATGCCACAAGCAAAGTACTTAATTCTAAATAGTAACTTTTGTCAATAAGACTCTTGCGCTTCTTTTGAAAACAAAAACGTTAAAATTGGTCAACCCTGAAAAAACTAGTAGCATTTTGAATAAAAAACAATGTTTTTCAACTTTCTGGAATTTTTTTTCGTTTTTTTTTTGTACGGAAACCTAGGCTGAAACGATGTTTTTTGAAATCCTTGAAAATTACCCTAGAAAACGCGAAACTCGTTAGCAAAATTTTAAAAAAAATCTGCCGCGCACCGGAGTTGAACTTTCGACCCTCGACCCTTTTTAGATCTCTGAAAGCGATGATGAAAGCGCAAGAGTCTTATTGACAAAAGTTACTATTTAGAATTAAGTACACTGGTTTTTGGAATAAATTGTCCAACCTCAAACTTGGTGGACAATACATCATATCTGAAAAGCTTATGAGAAAAATGATATTATGTTTATAGCAAGTAAAAACTCGCAGAGTTTGGCGGGCAAACATAAGTTACTATTTAGAATTAAGTAATTTGCTTGCGGCATCGAGAATTCGGCTTTCGAAGAGAGATCATTTTAGCCGTTTCCATAGAAAATGACGATTTTTTTCCAATAAATTGCAATTTTCAAAAAAATCTGTAAGACGGATTTAAAAAATTCTTTTAGATTCGGAATCATCATAATTTTTTTTTTGTATTGAATGCATATAGGCATGTGCAAATCTGTCGGCGATTACATTTTCGCGCGGATGTGCAGCATCCTCCTTTAAGCCGTTTTACTCCTTTTTGTAGCAATTATTCTTTTGCCGTCTAATCTTGAATCATCTTCGGGGTAACATTGAACTGTCGAGCAGCCGCTTCCTTTGATTTCTCCTTTGAAAAACGAACAGCTTCGAGTTTGAATGAGGATGAGTAGGCCTTTTGTTTGACTTTTGCTCTCAGAACTGTTGCATTCGACATCACTGTAGATTTTCCGTGTTTACCGTAACCTTTTTAAGATACTTTGTGCTTGAACTTACAGAAAGTTTATTGAAATTTTGAAAAAAAGGAAAAGATGAAGCAATTTTAAAACTATTAACCACAAAAAAAAGTGAGCAAAAGCACGTGAAAGTGAAATCGATTTGTTGTGTGTGGATGGATGTTCTCGTGGATGTCAATAGGAGAGATTCTCACACCATATCCCCAATTTTTTTCTCGGCACTGACTGGGAAGAGCTGATATCTTGGATTGTCCGGAAAATCTCTCTTCTCGTCCTTTGTCTCATTCTTCCTTTTTCTGGGCACCTCCTAAAAGTGGGTTTTATTTGGTAAAGTTTGGCGGCACTTGGGAATCTTACAGTACTTTCTCTCGACTAGTCTATTTTATCTAAACCGTGTCTCTTTCGGGGAACTACCGTAATCTAGTCTGATTTTGTGACTAGATTACGGTAGTTACCAGGGAATGGGACAAATGTGGGGGGTGGGACAAAGGTGCACCTTTTTTTTGCGCACCCGACCAAAAGCGCACCTTTTTTTTCGCTGGAAAAGGCCTTAGAAAAGGCCGTAGAGCTTTAAAAAGGTTTCCACATAGGGGAATCATATGTGCGTAGATTCCGAATTTCGACAAATTAGAACTCGCTGACACGTCAAATTTGGGCTAAGAGGCAAAGACTGCGGAAAAGCGTTAAGTTGCGTAGTTTTTGCCTTTTAGCCCAAATTTGACGTGTCAGCGAGGTCTGATTTGTCGAAATTCGGAATCTACGCATACGATTCCCGTCTATGAAAACATTTTTGAAGCTCTACGACCTTTCCTAAGGCCTTTTCCAGCCTTTCCCACCCCCAAATGTGCCCTTTCTCAGATATCAAAAGATACAAAGTGATAATTTGGATTATAACAACTAGAGACAAGGTTACGGTACTTATTTAGACAAAGATTTAGCCGAAAGGACTTTAGTCTTGATTTATTTCTTCAGTACCAGTAATCAGTTCTCAGTTACAGTAATTCTGCACGCTAGAATTCTAGCAAAGTTTTCTTTTTGGAAGATTTCATCTCGATATTCTTTTTTGCTTTTCAACTTACATCGATCATCTTGTTGAAGAGAGCGCGATTGAGAAGAGTGCAAAGACGGCGATCACTGTGAGCCTCAATCAAACGAATGGCCAAGACGCCCTCTGTAATTGATTCCAGCTAAGTAATTTGTTAAAAAGACACAAAGCTATCGTATTCCCGGGTGTCTTTGTAAGTACGATAGTTCTAAGCTTTTGTCTTTCCCCTCACCTCTTCCCAAATATTTGCAGTAGTCATCGATGTTTTCATCAGTGAAGAGCACTCTTGGATCTTGCTCGGCAGCTTTTTTCTCAACTTGTTTTCCATTCGGGATCTTCTTCTCCTCCATGTCCCTATCTTCATCATCATCAAGAGTCACCGTCATCTTCTGTGGGTCTGAATCCTCCAACATTCTGTAAATTTTGATTGCAAGGTACTGTTTCAAATGGACCACTATTGCACTGGTTCACTCTATGAATGGATATGTGCTTGAGTTACAGTATGAACTGTAACTCACATACATACTTATCTATATTTTATAACTATAGTCTAAACAATTCGAGTATTTCTATCTCTTACCCCCTGAGGTAGTTGGTGGTTGTGGCCGGGGTGAAATGATTGAAAACGGTCAAGAAAAGGTTGGCAGCGGTGGCGACAAAGAGGATCACGTAGAGACTCCTGAAAAGGAAAAGCAGGAGTTGGAGCACAAGTTGAGTTACTGTACTTAAGTATTCTTTCAAACTGACCACAAGAAGAGATAGACTTTCTCGTTGAACATGTTGATCATCAATACACACTGCACCGAGTACGGACGGATGTTTCCAAGGTCGCGGATCTGAAGAGGAAAGGGATTGGATAGATTGGATATGTTTCAATCTTCAATTAGCTTGAATGTAATTGAGGGATACGGTAGAAAAGGTATCAGTATACTCAATGTTAAATCTCTCTTACAATTAGCAAAACCTTGAGTCCTGTAATTTGAAAAACTATCATGAACTTTCTTTTAGATTTTCTTTTTTTTTCTACTTAATTCTCAACCCATTTTTCAATCATTTTTTCTAAGGGCTGGTTAAAGCTGGAAATATGTGTTATGTCTCAAAAAAATCACCTATCCTCTCTACTTTAATTTGATACCTAAGCGCACAGAAACAAACGTACTAGTGAAAAGTTATGAGCGTTTGTTTGAGAGTAAACTTAGACTACGTGACTACTTACTGGCTACATGAAAAAACTTACTGACTACTACTGACTACATGACTCTTCTATAGGAAGCCGTTCTTGGAGTTCTTGGATTGGAGTTTTTACGGTAGTACTTTTAAGAGCTCACTCGGAAATCACAGAAAGTGACTCGCGGGAAGAATCCTTGATAGGTCCAATCCTTTCCTTCATACATCCCGAAGAGAGACTGAAAAATGAATGAAATTTGAGGGATTGATTGTTAGAAAGGGATAATGTCAATGTCTGTCAATGTCAATGTCTTTTCACTCACCCAAACAGCCCACAAAGTGTCGTGTCCTAAGAAGACATTCATCTGGTAGATTTGGACGATGAGATTCAAGCAGAACACAACTTTCAAGATCAAGTAGGCGGTGACGGCACTGAAAAAGGGAAACATTTACAAAGCACAGTTTAGAAAAAAGGATTACCGTAGTTTAGATACTAGGTGTGGCTAAATTCATTTAATTTAAAGCTATCAGACTAGTATTACTTGACTCAGTTACCTTTTCCCATCTGATTCTGAAATTTTCATGCCAACTTTAAAATAGCTACTGTATTAGGCTTTCTTATGCTGTAGCTTATGTAAGTCGAATCAATGCAAAATAGAAAACGAAGAATACCGCAAACTTTGTCTATAGTGATCGTAATTTGAATCAAAATCAAAAAATGAACCCACTCGAGTGTCCTGTTCTTGACACTTTTCGCTTGAAGTTGTTTGTGGTATTCGTTGGCAAGAGCCTTCACCTGAAATGATTGTTTTAGATAAAAATATCTAGAGTATTGTAAGTTAATTCTATTTTCGAATAATCGATTCCCTTACGTGCTGATCTCGATCCTTCAATTTCGCATTTTTCAACTCGATCGACTCCTCCACCCATTTCTGTACATCCAATCCAGCTAAAAAGTGAAATGATAAAAATCAAATAAACTACAGTACATTATGATGATATAGAAGAAACCTTTCTTGCGGAGAAGGCGTTGATAGCAGACGAATGGAAGATAGAATCCAAGAGCGGAAAGGATCAAGAAGATTGGAACCCATTGATAGTAGCCGGCCGAGTTCTGCAAATATAGAATCAAAAAAAGACTCGAATACGGTATTGAGAACGAATTTCGAATACTGAACGAATACGAATTTCGAATATGTAGTACTTTAAATTCAGTCTTAAAGTACTACATATAAGATTGACTGTGATTGACTGCAGTAACTTAACCGATAAGCAAATCTAAGGACGAGTACTGTAGCTAACGAGTAGTATATCTGCCGTACTCTGAGTACAGTCTCTACCATATCATAACGTAAATCTTTTATCTCCATTTCAACCCAACCTCCCTCTTGTGCTCGGGACTGATCTTTGTGCGGTCATCAACTGGTGCATAGTATGTCTCATGAATGAAACAATAGTCCTCCGCATATTGATTCCACGATGAAGCGAACTCTTTCGGCAACCAACATTGGATTGGACTGCCCACCCATCTGAGAGAGGAATTCGATTGATACTTGATGAATAGTGCGAAATAGGAAATACCCCAATTATCTCTACCTACAGTAAGCTTAGCCCCTACTTTAATCGTTATCTATTTTGTTTGTTGTCTTCTCTATTTTAGAAAGATATCATAATCCGTTGATCAGTCAAATTTTGGTATTATTCGATCAAAATTGGGCAGAGTTTAAGTACAGTAGTTTTCTAAAGTAGGTACCTTTTAGGAAACTATCGTAACCAAGAGTACTGCAGTAAAGAGTTGTCTAATATTCTATAAGTATTGTTTTCTTTTAGATATTTCTCAAAAAAAACTCACTGCTTTGCGGATATCATGAAACAAAAAAGGCTGATGATCGCGGGAACAATCGAGGAATTGATCTTGTCGATCAAGTCACCTGAAAAGAATCTCTGAAATAGCCAAAATTTACACTGAAGTGTCTACAATTCTTAAAAGATCTTTCAACTATATATTCTCTCTAATAGTAGTGCACCCCGGCGAGCCGAGTTGGTCACTATTTTACGGTTTCCAAGCTTTCGCAGAAGCTCAACACTCAAATCCCCCACAAGATCTCATCGTCAGCTACATTTTCCGACCCCCACATCGATAGGTTCTGATAAGCGGTTCACGAGATTTCGAGCAATTTAGGCGACGCTCAGGGTGCACTACTATTAGAGAAAATACGGTATCTTGATATATTTCACTCACCAACAGGAGCGGCTTTCCTCAATTTGAGGAAGTCCTGGACCAAACCCCACGTGATCAGCATCGATAATAATCGATTGAAAAAAAAGGTGTACCCTAAAGGGATTTCGACGTAAGGATTTTGTTTTTATATTTGAAAAAAAGCTTTGAAGAAACACTCAAACTATAATAAGTTGAATTTGAAAGAAATTGGGTTTACTGTAAAGGAAAATAGAAAGAAGAAAATCTTTCAGAAAAGAAGAAAAAATCTTTCAAAAGAAAATACAGCCAAATCGTGTTCGATTTCTAAATTGTGCTTTTTTTGAAAACTACCATAACCAGTTTAGTTTTGTAAGAGCTTACAAAGAAAATTAAAAGATAGAAAAAATAACTAGATTGGATAAAAATAGAGATGAGAAAGATGAGAATAGAAAAATTTGGTGAGAGATTAGATGAGAAATTGGTGAGAAAAAAACCTTTAATCCGGAACCTCCGTAATTTTAATTGCCTTTTTTGCCTTTTTTTTGATTATCCCTCACTATTTACAGTAATTCTACAGTAATCAATTTAATTGAATTTTAGATTAAAACCAAAGCACAACGTAAGCATACAAAGCACACAATCAGCATAAACAAGACAAGAGCAAGGGGTTACTGTAGTTGTGAAATGGGAAAAGGGAAAAGAGAAATCTAAATGAGAGAATGAGCAAATGACTGAATGTGATCGTCTGGGGATGTCTGGGGGAAGGGGCGGGTCTGTAGGGGGTAGTACAGGGCTGGAGGGAGCTTCTCATCCACTTGTTATCATCGCCCCGATCACTGTCCCTGTCAGTCCCTTTCCCCCCTCCCCACTCTCCATTTCATTTATCCATTTGCAATCTCTTTTTCCCCAGTGAGACCCGGTGCACTTTGACACTGAATCAGATTCCACGGAAAAATAAAGAAAACACGATTCGTCTGAGCATCTTTTGCAAGGGAGATTTTCGTAGTATATCCCTTGCAAAAGATCTTCTGTACTAAAGACTGTACAGTACTCCTCCGGTAAAGACAGCTTAAGCTGATACAGTACTTAGATACACTTGCTGTCCATCTACAGATTGCACAGTATCCCTTGTTATATGAAGTTACAGTATTTGAGATAAACTTGAACTTGACTTGGACCACTTCTCCCCCACAAACACTAGATAAAGTTAGAGGCAAGATTACGATTACGATGAAGGGGATACGGTTTAGAAAGCGAATTCCACTAAAGATCAGTGTTGGAATTGATTAAAACCAGTAAAAGTCTGAAATGTTTATTTTTTTTATTTATCAAGCCTTTCATTTTGTAAACATTTGTCCTTTTCCCTTCGTTTTCTTTTCCCTAATTTAAAAAAGTGTTCTCGAATTTTGAATCGGAAGAGAAATTATCCACTCTTTGATCTGATATGAATGTTAGGGGAAATGGGAAGAATAAAACATTTGAGGGAAAATAAAGAAAGATCAGAGAAAACATTTGAGGAATTTTGTGGTAATGGACAGGAAATCGAATGGGGGAAAGATGTGGAAGGATGGGGAAGATGTGGAAGGACGGGGAAGAGGTGGAAGGATGGGGAAGAGGTGGAAGGATGGGGAAGATGGGGAAGGATGGGGAAGAGGTGGAAGGATGGGGAAGAGGTGGAAGGATGGGGAAGATGGGGGAAGGATGGGGAAGAGGTGGAAGGATGGGGAAGATGGGGAAGGATGGGGAAGAGGTGGAAGGATGGGGAAGATGGGGAAGGATGGGGAAGATGGGGAAGGATGGGGAAGAGGTGGAAGGATGGGGAAGAGGTGGAAGGATGGGGAAGATGGGGAAGGATGGGGAAGATGTGGAAGGAGAGGTCCGAAAGAAAAGCGGTAGCATAGGTTTACTGGATTCAAATTTCATCTTCACATTGATCCTCGTCTATTTCGCATACTGTAGTTACAGCAGCAATCTTATCCCAATCTGTAACTGACACTTATTTTTAAACCCAATCTGTCTCATTTTCTCGACTACCGTAACCTTGTCTCTTGCGTCATTCAATCTATTTGATGTCTTTTGCTATCCTGCTAAACCCTCACAACTAAAATAAATAAACTGAACAAAGAAGCAAGGCAGGTTTACGGTAGCTTTTGAATGGGGATAAGTTTTAAGAAAACGGGTTATCTACGAGAAATTAGAAAATTGCTGCCAGCTTTCAAAATGACCAATTTAAACCCAATCTGTAACTGACACTTATTTTTAAACCCGCATACCGTAAATACTGTAATAGTACCCCACCCCCGTAATGACGGCGCGGAGTGTCGCGTAGTCTAGCTTTGAACGCGATTTTATTGACACTGGCTTATGCTACAATGCGCGCTTATGTATCAAAAAATAGCTGAAATTTAGGGCTATTTTTTGACACCAAAGATGCATTTTTTTGAAGTACGGGCACTTTGAAAAAATGAAATACTAAAAAACTGTTGCTACTACGCGACTGTACGAGAGGGGTGGGGTACTATTACAGTATTTACGGTATACATATTCTATACCCTGCAGTAATCCTACCGTAAGCTTAACGCAATTCCTACAGTAACCAATGAAATAGATCTCTTTAATTAAAGAAAAAAAATGATAACCTTAACCCGATTGCCGTTGTAAAGCGTGATCTAACTTTCTAAAATTTGAAATTTTCCAATAATTCTTCTATTCAAAATCTTTTTTTTTTGCATTATCGATGAGCCGACTCAGATAAATTTTGTTGCTTTCACAATTTGCCACTGAAACGTCAAATGTTTACATTTTAAAGATCACCAAAACGCTCAATAAGGGGCATTTCTTTTCATCAGCCTAAAAAAGAAACGATGCAGCTGTCTCTCTTTCCTTCTATTCATTCAAATTTCTCTATCGAATCTCCTTTGTATCAGCAGCTTGAAGAGAAATGAAAGAAGACAAAGTTCGGCGCATTTTTGAGCAATATGTTGTTGCTGAAGAAAATAAACAAATCTCATTTTTGATGGGCCAAAGTGTTGTCAGTGACAGTTTTCATAGTATGCGGTAAGGCTGAGGCTAAGCCTAAGCCTAAGCCTAGCCGAAGCCTAAGCCTAAGGTTATTGATGGTTATTTACAAAAAATTCGTCATCTATGCGCAAAATTACTCCAGAAAAATGTGTTTTCAAGTTGATTTGGTGGGTGGAGAATAGAGCGTGTTCCTCGTGAGTAATGCGTTTTTTAAAACACACCACTGGGAAAAAATTACCGTACTTTTAGCAAAAATTATTGCAAAAAAAGGGGGTGGGACAAATGCGACCTTTTTTTTGCGCACCTGGACATTTGCGCACCTTTTTTTTGCTGGAAAAGGCCTAGGCAAGGCCGTAGAGCTCCGAAAATATTCGAAAATACTACCATATAAGGGAATCGTATGCGTAGATTCCGAATTTCGACAAATCAGACCTCGCTGACACGTCAAATTTGGGCTAAAGGGCAAAAAATGCGGAAAAGCGTTAAGTTGCGTAGTTTTTGCCTTTTAGTCCAAATTTGACGTGTCAGCGAAATCTGATTTGTCGAAATTCGGAATCTACGCATACGATTCCCTTCTATGAAAACTTTTTGAAGCCTACGACCTTCCTAAGGCCTTTTCTAGCAAAAAGGTGCGCAAATGTCCAGGGCAAAAAAGGTCGCATTTGTCCCACTCCCCAAAAAAATGACGCAAAAATCACGAGTCCTGCCTTATATAAGACACTTTTTAAAGATACTCAGCCGTTTGTAATGTAAAAAAGGACCAATGTAAAAAATGATTTTTTTTGGAAAACCTGCGCAAAAAATTGCTTTTATGGGAGTGGGACAAATGCGACCTTTTTTTTGCGCACCCGGACATTTGCGCACCTTTTTTTCCGCACCTTGCCCATTAGCGCACCTTTTTTCGCGTTTTAAAAAAGCTCTAAAAAGCTAATATTAGCTTTTTTAACCAATTTCTATTCCAAAAGTTGTTTTTCTAAGTAATTTTAGGGCGTAGAATCGAAATTTTGACATATCAGAGCTTGTGGAAGCGAACGGACGGAGTTCTACAAAGAGAAAAATCGACAATTTCCTGTAATTTGACCTAGCCGTTTTGTCTTTCAAATTGGTTCCGCTTTTTATATTTTTTCGCGCAGGCGCACTTTTTAGAAAACGCATTACTCGACAATTACTCATGCAAATTTACTCGAGTAATTACTTACTCGCGAGGAGCACACTCTAGTGGAGAAACTACAGGGTGACCCACAATTATAGCGCCGCGCTTCAGAAGGCCTAGGTTAGCCAAAATTGGGTGAATCGTTCTGATTTTTCTGGAGGTAAATCTTAAGTATATCTCCTTAAACGGTGTCCATTATCTAATCGATTCAAGCTTTCAACTTCTTTTATATGGCCTTCCAAAGTTGAGAGCCGAGTTTTGCTACTTATTTATGGAATTTTGAAAGTTTCATTTTTTGATAAAAAGACTTTAAGATTTTAATGATTTTCAATTAATCATATTTAATTATGAAATTAAAAAGCAATAGACTTGGAAAAAATAAGATTTTCTTGTTTTTTAGTGCTTCTCTGAATCGTTAAATCGTTCAAGTAAAAACAGACCATATTAAGTGAGTTTTGGTGACATTTCTCAAGAATTTTTGCACTTAAACTGCTTAGAGCATGTGAAATTTCGTTCATTAACATAGAAAAATCAATCTCAACAAGATTTTGACAAGATCGCTCTCAAAAATCCCTTAAATGAGTAGCATGCCGAGCGAAATTCGGCTTTCAACTTTGGAAGGTCATATAAAAAAGTTGAAAGCTTGAATCGATTAGATAATGGACACCTTTTAAGGAGATATACTTAAGATTTACCTCCAGAAAAATCAAAATGATTCACCCAATTTTGGCTAATTTACGCTTTCTGAAGCGCAATAATTGTAGGCCACCCTGTACTCTTACCCTTTTTTTGTGAAGTTTACTGATTATGAGAAGTTTAAAGTTCAAAAACCATGAACTATTCAAAACCCGTATCACTTTTTTTATGTGTAAATCTTCTACCGTATCTATTAGCACACTAAATCATTTCTACTTTACTCTTTTCATGAT